ATTGTTTTCATAATTTGTGCCAGAACACCTACACTTGAAAGTATAACAATAATGAAATTAATTATAAAATTGTTTTCGCAATGGTACTTACGTGAATAAGGTGAGGAAATATTAATTACGGTTTTTATTAATAAAATATAAACCGCTTCCAATTTGAATTAGTATCATACATATATTAAAAAATTATAAGAAAATATAATTTTACATTCTTTTTTGAAGCAATCTTAAGTAAAAAAAATCAAATTTAAAATGGTTTAAAAAAGGAAGGGAACTTCTCAAATCAACTGAATCTCTATGCGATATTTTTGTTGAATTTACCTGCTTAAATTTTCTTTGTACGTCAAAGTATTTTTAGAATGCCAAAAGGTACCTAATACCATAACTGAACCTTCTACATCACCCTCTGCTGTGGCTGTCTCTGGGAGGAAATATTATTGCAATAATAATAATTGAGATTGTTACAAAAAAAGTAGAAATCTCAAAAACAAAAAGTATTTCTTTATTCAACATATTTAATGTAATATTTTACAAAGCTTTAATAATTCTGATTAATCTAAAGAGCTGTCATTTTTATTCAATTATTATCTTATAAATTTCAAGAGCAATATAATTAATTTATTATTATTTTATAATTATGTAAAGTAAATAATTACTCATTTCACACCTCCACTAATGTACACACTTTAAAGTAGAGTCATGTGAAAAACAAAAGCTTAGTACACGCATAAAAGAAAAAAATCTAGTTAATGCACGAAATTAATGTGTTGGTAAATAATCATGATCAATGATATTGATACTTCTTGTCTCTTTTAACTATTAACGTCAGCATCAGAGCTAAAAAATAAAAAACGTGTATATAAAAAAAACACGTTGATACTTATGATATATTTATCTTATGAACATAGAACTTGAAGACTTTTTTTTTTGTTAATATACCCACAGTTTGTTCACTTATATCTAAACAAACGTGAAAATTCTCAAAAAGGTTTTTTTCTTAAATAAGTTCTATTAACATTACTCAACTATAGGGAGAAGTATAAGAGATTTGTTTTTCTGTATATACAAATATAATATATTAAACAAATTCGAGCTTATTATATGCCTTTTCATTTAACATGTACATAATAATTAAACAATTTCTACAATTTTCCACCCCACAAAAGTTCTTCAATAATTGTTAATTTACGTTACATACCCATTTTAAGATTCCCGACTTAGATAATGTAACAAATTTTAGTTCATTTGGTCCATTAGTTTTGGAGCAAATTAAGTGTGTCAGGCATAATTCAGACAGACACGAGAGTGATCCTTTAACGGTTCCTTTTTTTCATTTTAACTTAAGAAACCCTAAAAACTCGCATTTATTATAAGGGAGAAGCTTGACAACTGTTTCAGTCTATACGAAAGTTAAGCAACTTTCACAACGGCCCGTCATAGGATGGGTGACCGAAATTTTACTATCTCACGCTCCCGAGTGCTTTGGAAAGTACGTGAAGCCGTTAATACCAGCTGCATTTGCTATAGTTAGCATCAACCAATCAGTACTAGCGAGCGTCGTAAGTTATGACCCGTTCTCCCTTTTCGATTCCATTGACCCATATCAAGGCCTATGGCCCAGCTGTGGGGACATTGATAAGAAGATGATGAACCCTAAAAACTAGCTTCCTACATATGAGACCACCTCAAGTATCATAGTCGCATAGCCTTGAACCGACAACTCAAGTCAACCGTTGAAGAGCCTGGTTATAATTTATTTGATATCGAGGTTATCTGTTATGGACAAACTGTTCCACGTTTATTTTTAATGATACAATCGACATTTGTCATCTTAATGCGGGATAACTACATATTTTTATTACTCTGAACGTAGCTTTTGGTACTCGTAAACAGTAATCTGTTGTAAAGGAATTCATCAAAATATGACATGTGCACTGTTTTGGATGTATATCGAGTATATATATTTGTGAAGGTTTTATATAACAAAATTTAAGATTGTGTACGTTACCGTAAATTATAGACACGTTCTTTTCTCTGTTTTATTAACTGGTAAAATCGGAGATCAAAAATGAAAAGATATCTGTGAACACGTAGCTACATAAGATATACCTTCTTCTTCTTTTTTTAATTCATGGCCTATTTGCGTTTACACAATTTTGCCAATGTCGTGTTTGTAGAAGATAAACCTACCTACTGGGTCTAGAGTTGATGACAGATTTTTGACAATTTACCTTTTGTTTTTTCACTACTCTTAGGACAAACACGAAATTGTTAATAAAATATTGAAATAAAAAATAAATAGGTTATTTAAATTAGAAGTTTGAAATAACATTTATTTTTTAAGTTTATATATTAGCGGTACTAAACCATAATTAAAAAAAAAAAGCCCAAATGCGAGTCGGATTTGCGCACCGAGGGTATAAATACCTGTATAATGTAACTAAAATTTTAAGGTTTTCGATATTTTTCCTTCATAAAACATTGCTATATGTTAAATTACAAGATTTAGAGGTCGAGTGGTTTTATCGTTGGAGTAAATTTAAGCTGATACTATACTTAATATTAGTCCAAATTCATATTATTTAATAGAGACTTAGCAAAGGTTAACCTAGTATGAGGTTCTACGGGAGTAAGTTATATTTACTCCTAGAAGATAGTATGTTTGCTTATTCTCTGTATAATATGAATTTGGACTAATACTAAAATTTCAATTTTAGCGAATATTTACTTTGACGCTAAACTTTGTTTATTAATAGCACTGTTTAGGTTTTAATTCCCTTGCAAGTAGTTGCGAGTTTGAAAATATGGGGCTTAAATTACTGTCTTTTGATTGGGTTAACCCATATATAATCAATAGAAGTATGATTTTGTTACAACTAAAAGTTATTATAGAACTGAGTATTTGATATGAATTTCGATTGAATACCTCTACTCGTTCATGAGAAAAGGAGTAGTAACTTTAAAATAATTACAAATATTTTTATTATATTATGTAACTACATATTACAGATTCCACAACTTTCCTTTACCTATAATATAAGACGTTGCTTCGTACAAAATTTCAAGTTGGTTTCAAGTGAGCTCAGAATGGTTTTGATTCCCTAGCGAGTTTCGAAAATTTGTATCATTAACTACAGTATCTGCATTGCGTTGGCTTAGAATTTTGATTTTTTCACAGCCCCAAGGGACAGTAGGGACAGTAGACTAGAGTACCTATTTTATATAAATATCAGCTTGATGCCTCCATGCATTCCTGAGAAATAGGGTCTATAGAAAGCTTGCGTTTTTTCCTTTCGAGGTTCGGAACCGTTAAAATTGTGTAATATTATGTTTTTTTTTCCTGTATATATACATATATAAAAAGAATATACACTCTCTAAAAAATAAATAGAAATAATTTTAAACTAGACTTATAGTAGGAAAATCGACATTCTCGAACAATTTAGGCTATAGAGGTCGGTCCTCATTCCTTTAGAAAACGGTCTTACCCTCGTAGCTGCCTGGATAACGGGATAATAAACTCAATCCATTTAAGGAGCTAATACCATAACTAGTAATCTTGTAACGCAAATAAATAACTAATTCCCCCACCAATATAATGTTTAAACTATTTTCCCGCGACTTCGCCCTTGTTAATTATATATCGTTCACTGAATAGTACAGTGGCACAACTCAAAAACCATAATTTCAAGAAACGCTCTCCGAAGTTATGAAAATCTAATATATTTATAATTATGAAAATCATTTTTTTTAGTATAACAGTTAAATCATTTGTATTATATTATTACTGTTAAGTTTTTTATTTTTTTCTTTAAATTATCTATGGGATGCCACCACAATAATGTGGTGTTTACTCGAAATAATTGTTTTTGAGTTGTGCCACTGTACTATTCAGTGAGCGATATAACCTATGTCAACTGCGTATTATGTAGCTTCCCGAAGGTGAAAGAATTTTTTAAATCGGCCCAGTAGCTTCGGAGCCTATTCAATGCAAACAAACAATCAAATGTTTCATCTTTATAATATTAGTATAGACAAGTTGTTTCCCATCGGTTTCGCCTACGTAAATAATAGCTTATGATGTAGCTCGGTTAGCTGAAAGATTTAAAAAAATCGGTCCAGAAGTATAAAATGCAAACAAACAATGAAATCGTTCCTCTTTATATTGTTAGTATAGATAATAAATCGCAATTAGTCGATTTGAAATGCTAATTAATAGTGCCCTCGGGGAGTGTGGTGGAAAATTACACGTGTTCGCTCTGATACCATCTCGCTTCATCTACTCCCGGATAGTTTATTGGAGCGAATCGTATCCAATTTAGAGGCTATCCGTAATTAAACCGTCACTAAATTATAACGTTGAGTATCAACTGAGCTCTTTAAATGGTGCTCTAGATTATTTAAGTCATATAAATAATTTTATAGAATGGGTTTTATGTTGCATTTTATGTGGACAGAATGCGAACCATTTTATAAATGATAATGATATCGATGCACCATGGCATTGTTGGAGACAGTGTTAACTTATATATTTTCTAAGGTACTTTATGTGTAGCCTTATGAAAATCTCTATTTTGAAATGTCTCTCCTTTGAATTGCAACTTCTTTTGTGGCGCCATCTTCGAGCTTCTATCCCTGGTTGGGAAATGTGGAAAATGAAAATTTGTGTGTTACCGGGGTAGGATATTGTTTTTCCTTCGTTATTTTCTATCTTCATAACAAAGAGTAGCTTAATTCTGTTAATGTTAGCGTAATTATTGCGAATCAATGGCGATTAGATAACAATTCTTTTTGACACAGTTCTTGTAACTAGATCACAAAATAATGTTTGTTATTTCTCACTATAGATTTATAAAAACGACATGGTTGTGTCTTAGGTAGATTAAATAGTAATAAAATTCGCAGCCTTATTACGTTAACATATTTATTTATATATAAATACACGTAAAACTTTACTCAAATTGAATTAGAACGTGATTGATTAGTAATTTGTTTTGTTGCAGGCGAAAACAACGGCAGTGCTGAAGGTTCAGGATCGGGGGGTGAGGCCGGAGAAGGCGCAGAAGCGTCTCACACGTTTGGTCCCCTGGACGGATCGATATACGCGACCGTGGTTCGCGCCGGGGGACCGGGCTCACCGTTGAGCGCTTCCATGGACTCTGGCATATCATCAGCGGGACGCCGCGCCGCCCCCAGTCCGCCGGACGAGCTCGACGCGCTGCTCGGCGACATGTTGCGAACAGTGAGCGCGCTGCCCGACCCGCCGGCGCAGTCGAGCGTCGACACCACACCCGACATACCGTACCACGCGCGCACCGACTCCGCGCCGTTCACATACGGAGCGCCCGGCCTCCGCCCCGGAATGCTACGTACTCCGAACCGTCTCGCTAGTCCGGAACTGGTCCGCCGTGCGCTTGGCGGCAATCGATCCTATCGACCCATCGAAGATGATGACGATGAGCGCACCGCAACCCCTGAACCGTCTCCTCGGACCCCGTTATCACCACGAACGATAAGAAAACTCACCCACGAAGATGTCACCACCACAGCTACGACCGTGCCACAAAGTACAACTATAAGCAACGGAAAGTAAGTCAATTTATTTATTGCAGCTGCTTTTGGAACTTTGGTATAGGAAGTAGAAAATAACATAATATTGATTTTTCAATAAGGTTATAATTATAATAACTGACTGATATAGGCGAAATTTCGCAATAAACCAGAAACTGGAAACTCGATCAGGAATATCAGATTACCGTGTCTTTAACATTATCATAGGATAACTTGGCTGAACCAGTTTATCGAGGAGATAAACAAACGCTAATTGGCAATTTCAGTCAATTAAAGGAAACGTTATGTTTCTTGTTCTCCCAAAATTTTGAATCCGCAAAGATAATGTTCACGAAAAGTATTCTATTAAGCATTGAATTTTTTTTTCTATCTTAATATAAAATATGTTATCAAATTATGTGTTAAAATATTAAAACAAGGGAATCTATTAGTAAATGTAAACATGTGTTCCTGTACTGTAGGCGTGGAGGCCGCACGCCATCGCCCACGTTCGGAACACATTTGTTTACATTCACAACCTTAATATTTACACTGCATTTTTAGCAAATTCCACAGCATTTACTTAATCTTTTCGTGAGATATCCGTAACATTCGAACCGGTAAACACATATTGCTAAGTGAAGATTCGAAAGAAGTATTGAGCGAGAGATAGGAAACGCTAGCGGGAGATTTCGTCCGAGATCCGTGTTTATAGCGACTGATTACGCTGTTTATATAGCAATATGAGGCATATAATATAGATAGATAATAAAATCGTCTCTAAATTGGTATTATTTTTAAAAGACTACATTCAGTAGTTTGTGTGTTATCGCTAGTTTTAGCCTTAAGGACACTTCACTTTATGATTTCTTTTATGTGTTACTAACAGACCCGGTGAACTTTGTACCCTCTCAAAATGAAACAATGCATCAAAATTTAATAAAAAAAAATTTCTGAACGCTGACAGTTATGAACAGTTTGTATGTAAAAGAAAATTGGAAAAAAAACTATTTGTCTTGAATTTGGTCATGCTTTCTCACTTTTTAAACTTTCTTTAAACTGCTACGAATATTTCAAAATCAAAACTAGCCAAATCGATCCACCCGTTCTCAGGTTTTAATGCGAGCGACAAACGTATTTTTTTTAATATATAGTTTATAAATAGTAAAATACTCTGTGACTTAATTGGAAGTTCACGAAAATCATATATCTAGGCCTTAAATGGTCAGTAACAAATCGGTTGACAACAAATAACCCAAGCGACTGTTGTGGGTTGTGGGTAGAGTTTTAATTTATTTAGCCGCGTTCCGCTCGACCTACTTCACTGTCAATGGATAAGGGCATTAAAGTATCTCACATCCAATCTTGGCCGCTTGTTATAAGTATCCTTTATAGTTTTATGATTCTAATATCGTAAACCACTTTGGTGGGTCCTACCACAGTCCTGTTTTGTGAAAGTATGTAGTTAAATCATAAATTCTTTATTATAAACTCACATGTTAGTACTTTGTGTTTATTTATATTTTAATATCGTTATCTTGGGAGCACATTTAGCCAATTTAAAATGACAAAATATTACACCGTGAAATCTCTACTTTAATTTAAATAATAGTGTAATATAAGTTTTTCCTAAGTATCGTCATATACATCAGATTAATAATGACAAATATTTAATACGATTCAATTTATAGATAAAATTTAAATGTTTTGTTTGAAAAATACGAACAAATGTTCATGAAAATGTTTTTCACATTCATGTGAAAAACAAGAATAAACAGAAAAATTCCACATACTATTTAAACATAAACAAAATATATTCTAAACGTAAACAATTAAATCATCAGTATTTCTCGTAATCACTACATAGTATAAAACAAAGTCGTTTTCTCTGTCCCTATATCATTATGTAAGCTTCAATCTTTAAAACTACGCAACGGAATTTGATACGGTTTTTTTTTCATAGATAGGATTCTAAAGGAAGGTTTTCATGTATAATACAAGACTACGCAGGCGAAGCCCCTGGCGGAAAGCTAGTTAGATATAAAAGCAACGATATGTGTCAAGGATGCAAACTGTCATTACATATTTATTGATTTATAAAAATAATTCAACCTCTATTTAATAAAACTTCAGCTGCCGTATGTGTGTCTACAAAACGCGAAAGTTGTTAGATTATTTAAATTTTTACACACATATTAGTCTTTAAAGAATCAACAGATTAAGAAATCATGGACTGAGAATCGAATTAACATAGAGGTCAAGTGTATTTTTCTATTCAAAAGTGGCAATGTGCAAATATCAGTGCAAAAATTCGATTAGCACTCGATAATTTTCGTGCAGTCTCGACTAAGTTTGCGATCTCATTTTAATTGAATTCAGTCGCTAACTCATAGCGATATAGTATTTTAACAATTATAGTATGCGTCTACAAGTAAATGTATAGTTTTTTGTAAGTAGCTCACTATCAATATTTAAAAAGATATGAAATTTAAGTTTTAATTCAAATATATATGAACATATTATACATACGTGAAAATTATAGCCAATTTTATCAACAAAATATTTCCCTTTGTAATGTTAGATCCAAATTAGATGAAGGGTCGATAATATCGACAAATAAAACTGTCTGAGAACTTACTTGAATTGCTTGAAAAGCTGAAGTGGGTTGCTAGTAAACAAATAAATAAAATCAATTGTAATATATAGAGTGGGATGTAAACTACCAGTGGGTGTTAAACAATGTGCACAAAAACAAGAAGGAAGTATAATTATTATTATAAATATCACATAAATCAATAAGGAACTCTGTAAATAATAATAGTTCTATCATTAGAACTGAATTAATAAATTATGAATAAAGGTTTTAGAAAATCTCAAAAATTACGAGTACATTGAAATCTCATAATTATGAAACTTAAAAACGAGTTTATTCAAATTTATAAAAATGTATCTGTTTATATAACGTTCTACTCGTTTGATATTTACCATAAAGTATTTATTTATTATATTATTAGATATTTTATAAAAAAAAAATTATAACCAACTAAAGTATTCATAATGTTAGCTAGTCGGGTTTTTTAAATCCCTAAATGTTTAATGATTTTTGTTGAGGTTAAAACATCTTCAGACCGGATAACGTTATCGCATGTTTGTCAGTAATTTACAAATTTTTATTACTAATATGACTTCCAAGGTTATTAAAATATGTAATTAGCTCAAAGGCATAAATAAAAATAAAGTTTTTGTAGATATATTTCATAACGTAATCTGTTTTTATAGAATAAATGAAAAACAAAGTATTTCTTCTCATTTTTCAAAAGCATTTCTCTATAAATACTTATTTCAAATAGTGTTAGGGAAACGAACGCATTAATTCAGATTCTTTATTGTTTATATTTAGTTTCTTGTTCAAATTGTAAGTAAATTAACTATACACCATGCTATAAAGTAACATTTAATCAATCTGGAGAAATCGGTCCTCTTAGAAAACCTATTTTCGAGGTCAATTTTAATACTAGATTTTTCAAAGGACGCTTTTTTAACCGACTTCAAAGAAAAGGAGTTTATCAATTCGAGGTATAAATGTGATTTCGTCGGATTGGTGTTATTCATATATGTATATCTGCATTGGCTTCTAAACATGTTTGCAAAATTTTATGTATGTATGTTTGTCCACGGATATCTCGCAAACTAGACGTCAGATTGCAATGCTAATTCTTTTTTTATTTGTCTTAGCTTTCAACTTAAGGCACATTACAAGTTTCATCAAAATCGGTACAGTAGTTATAAAGATATTATAAAACATTAAGCTGTTTATAAAAGGAATAAAACATTTACAGACTCATAAAAGGAGTACAAATTATGACTTTTTAACCGATTTCATAAAACGAAGCTATCAATTTGACCTGTATGTATATAAGTTTGTGCCTTTTAAACATTTTGTAGGTTATGAATGTGTGCCTATATAACAACGTATTCGTAAATTAGAAATTGGATTGAAATGAGACTTTTTCGTTTTACTAATAATTTTTTAGCTTAGGGAACAACATTAACGAATCTTGCAAAATAACTTAAGAAACAAAATATGACCACAATATAGGTTAGATTAGAACTGAGACCCCAATAAAAACGAATTGCTTAAAGAATGCGGGTTAGGTTAGACCGTAGCAGTTCAGAAAATGTTTATCCCATAAATATAACAACTATGTTTAAATACAAACGAAGGTGTCCATTTATTAAAAGTTAGAAGTAATATGGATCGGTGATAATATAAAAAAAAAAATATACTGACCTCAAAACAATAATAATAAAGAGAAACGACTGAAAAGAGATAAATAAAACCAAAAACTTTTTTGAGGTTAGTGCCATATTTTATACCTATATTACCTATGAGAAAAGATTTTCTGATAATCCTTATTTATTTCTTGCTAATAAAATGGCTGGCACCAACCTAAATGCGGTTTAATTTTTAAATTATTTTCTTTTGTATGGTACAGGTACAGTGCTACTTTAAAGAGTTTTAGGGTTCATAAAAAACGTGTTAGAACCAATACTGTTCAAGATCAATAGATTTTCCTATTGACTTAACACAAATTATATTCTTCGTGAAGAATAACTAATATACCTAACCAAAATATAAACGAACGAAGGCATCCATTAGTATAAAAGTGACATTATCTTTAAAATATCAATTCAATTCATTGTAGTTTTCGATATCAGCAGTTAGAAGTATAGGTATTCATATAAAGAATCTAGATTTTAAAAATGTCTAAGATACTTCGATTTATTTCAATGATCCCTAATCCTCACAACGCAAAAGCTATTTGACATATGAAAAAACAAAATAAACGTAACAACAAAATATAGAAATATTCCCAAAATATCATCCCAAAGATCTCTGAAAGCTTTTAGCAGAAATTACATAATTATAATGACGGAAAGAGTAATCTCAATCAAATACAAATGAGCTCTGTAATGACTACTCAAATTATTCCATAATTACAGGTTCCCAAAGTATTAAAATGAATTTTGTATTACACTACATCTACAAACAAATGGGGTACTATTATAGTTGCCGCCACACTTTAGGTATCTGTGTAATGTTGTTTATATTCAATCAGGCATGTTGACAAGCACGTAACGAGACACAAATTACTGTTATTATAGCAATAGAGCGAATGTGGCAGTGATGTATTACATAGTAAAATGTTTCTCTAACAAACTCGTACGTATGCCGTTTGACTTAGCACTGTTTCACAAATATTATTTGTGTTTTACTTTATAGTATAACTTATAGTATTGTATACTTTATTTATCGTATTTGATAAAATCATGTTGCTCTTAGCAACAAATTTACTCTTTTATTCCGAAGTCACAGTTGAACTAAGACATTATTATATAAGAGGCTCTGGGTGGTGGGTGATATGAAGATAGATGTCACACAGTGCCTTATTGCGTTGGTAGCATATAGTAACTTTGACCCAGAAATAACTTCGATGTGTAGGTATGTAACCTTGCATAAAGCCACACTAAAGCTATGCTGCATAGTATAGAGATAAGAGCGTGAATATTTATGTATATTTAAATAGATCTCCTATAAGATGTCTTGACAGTATGCAAATAAATTTGCCGAGAAAGCCTTGCGTTGCACAAACGTTCTTTAAATTACCAGTAATTTAAAGCCACATCACCAATAGAAATGTTCAAATATAGAACATTCATTAGTGCTTAAAGATGTCATTAAACCTTAATGGACGTTTGTGAAACAGATCGATATTGTTGAAGCAATAGTTTGTTGTGTTAGAATTAGATTATAAATTCATAATTATAACTTTATCTGTGCTGTAACCATGCTATAACTAGATACTTTATTATTATCCATTATTAAATAATTGCAAGTCGCTTCCCTCTGTCTGAACGATGAGATCTTTTAAATTAAGCACCGGTATTTAATATACTTAAACCTACACTAGTTTCATTTCAACCATATGTTTAGGATTAAGTTTAGAATTAAATTTAAATTTACGTATTAATTTAAAGTTTTGAAATTAACAGAACGTATTTTATAAGCCAATATACAATAAATGAGGCAAATCAAGTAATACATTTTCATGAAGCTTTTACCCATTGCTTATGATATTAAATTTATTGTATTATTATCTAAAGTGTCTAGAATTCTATATTAAACAAGTTTCATTGAATATGCTAACACACTTGGGATACGTAATTATTAGATGCGCATAATGTTACTACTTGTACAATATAAACAAAACATTGTCAAGTCATACAAAGGTATAGAGTCCATAATAATGGTGCTTACGTCGAAACTGATAGAGTAAGATAAATGACAGGTATCAACCCTGTCAATCACGATCATGAACGCGATTGTGTTAGGATCTTTTAAGTGCCCCCTCTCGACGTGTAGGCAGTATCAAAATAAGTGATTCATTTAATAGATAACGTCACTGTATTACCCGCCTTGGTAAGCAGTAACATTAAAGTGGGATTATTTAAAACAAAATTAAATCATGTTTCTTCAGAACAAGTTTACATATTGAACTTGTTTTAATAAACACGATATTTTGTTATTTATCAAACAAAAATACCACCACCGTATGTGATATGCGGAACAAGGACAAATTCCAGCTATATAAATAATCTTCTTCTTTATAATTAAGACTTATGTGTACAAGATGACAAATTACCGTAATCCATTTTAACTTATATAAATTTAATACAGCTTATACATCCTAACAACTTAAAGAAATTAATAAAAGTTTATTACTTAGATGTGCTTGGTGACTAAATACTGTGCCAAGTGCGTGTTATTATTTAAATGTTTAAATTGCTGTTGTTAATAATATGTTAATTAAGTTGTTGCCGATATGTTTTCAATGCATGTTTTATATAATTTTATTCCTAGCACATGTGTACAAACCTTCTTGGTTTCTCTTCATGGCTTAGTTTAATTACCATGTTAAATAATTTTTCTCGAACTGTAAATAAAATTAAAAAAATAATAATAATTATATGCTAAATTGTACATAACACTGGACAAAATCACAATAATACAACAGAAAAAAGAAATAGTATATAAAAACGGCCTTATTGCTAGATAACAATCGCTTTCCACGTAACTTATGGGAAATAGAAAAGAGATGTATCTTAAATAATAAAAAGCGCATGTGATAGACTTATAAACGTAAAGTTTAAAACAGTTCGCGATCAGGTTAGTTTTGGGAGTCTAATAATTTTAATTTTTCCTAATGGCTAACCTATTAAAAAAAACAGTTTTTGTTAACCTTTAGTCTGTGCCCCAGCAATGACGACATTAATAGGCAGACGATGATGATGATATTATAGAAGTAATAACATTTAAACATGTCAAGTGTAATCTATTTTGAAATGAATTAATATCGCAGGAAATCAATTACCTTTTAACGATCCTCGATTTAAAGATAATACGAGTAGAATAAATTGCAGTGGACAGATATTGAGACTATAGTAATTGAGTAACGTGGGCGGCTGTTGAACGACGACAGTAGGTACCTCCACGCCTGCGTTCCACAACACTGACTGACTGTGCTGTAGAATATTGCCATTTTTGTATTCATCTTATTAAATGAATTTTAAATGAAGTAGCTCGGTGGCGTAGAGGATAAGCGCCGCGGCCCGCGATCGTTGTTGTTAAGCAACTTTCGCAAGGGTCGGTCAAGGGATGGGTGACCAAAAATTTATTATCTCAAGCTACTTCGTGCTTCGGAAGGCACGTTAAGCCATTGGTCCCGGCTGCATTTGCAGTCGTTAATACCCTCCGATCCGCATTGGGCCAGCGTGGAGGGTCATGGCCCATCCTCCATCCATAAGGAAGACCTGAGACCCTGCAGTGGGGACGTAAAAGGGCTGATGATGATGATGATTATTATTATTATTATTAAATGATCCTTTATGAATCGTCCAATCACTCCATATGTGGAATCATAGACAATAACCTTGTCCCAATACATTACTCCAAAATTATTACATATTCTATAATTATGACTAGAATGTCGAAACATTTGACTACACTCTCAATCATAGATTCTTATAAAGTATGTATTAAAGGTTTCTTAATACAGATACGTCTAATAATCAGTTACCATTGCCTTACATGTATATCGACTTAGCAGTTCAAAACGAAAGATGAATTCGTATTGCGATTCTTAGATTGATTTGGAGCGATGGCGTGCGATTGCGTCGCCGCCATGACCCAAACAAGTTGCTATTTCGAGATAAACGCACGCCATAAACGGGTGCTGCCCGGTCAGGCGCCGCCTCGACGTCCACAATCATACGTTACTTTCTAATAAATGCTACCTCTATTCACTTTTATTCATGCAACTATCCTACACGTCTTTATCTTACTGAGTTAATCAAAGCGATCGATTAATCTTAATTGCAAATTAACCACTTCTGTATGTATGACATTCCATTCCTCGAGATGTACGGAAGTTGTTTAACATTCTAATTAATATTTTATAAATGTAAGTTATCTTCAGAATGAACACCCACAATTTACAACTCTCGAGCTAACTGATACCATATAAGTGTGTAAACCTTAGTCCTACGCACAATAAAACAAATCTAAAGAGAACAGCTGTGGCTACAAAAAGTTACCTTAATGATAATATGTTTGGTGCTCCATAAAAATATAAACAGTTTGGTGATGTCAAATTATATAATGCTTTAATGATCACCGTATTAAGTCTTGTATGTTTTTCTGTCAGATGGCTTAATGGCGAGACGGAGTGGGCGGAGAGGCCACCGAGCAGCGCGCGAAAAACGCCCGAGAATGGGACCTGGAGATCAGCTAGCACATTAGGATGGCAAGAAACGACACGAGCAAGGGAACCAAGACGATCAGATAGTGCCATAGAGGGACTCACGGGTCTCACTTGGTTACAAAGGCAGCAACAGAAGCTTAGAGAGCGGAAAGAAGCTAGAGAAAGAGTAGCAAGGTTACCCTTAGAATGGGATACTGCTCCTTCTCGGCACGTGCGACGATCAGCCAGTCACAGGTAGACAGTAGTTAAATATTTATTTTTATTAATTTTATCAATGAATTCGTTAATTTTCTTTTATAATTATATGTTATTTATTCTCTATATATATTTTTTTTTACATTTTGGTTCATTTAATTTTCAAAATAACTCTGTGTCTAAATTCGATTTTTTTATTTAGTCAAACTTAGAGAATTCAAAAAACTACATTAACCAAAATCATTCATTAAATATGTAAATAATAAGGCAATATAATATCAAAGAATATAAACGTACGAGTATTAATTGCTAGACCAGAGCTAGACATAAAGCAAGAGTCAGTCATCGCACCCCACGATGATAGTAATGAAATGTGGCCAAGGGAGTTATCCCATCATTTTTATCATATGTAATGTTAATTTATAATTATAATCAAACCTAAAAAGTGGATTCTTTCTTTTTTTAGAGTGGACGGTTATACTAGTGACACAACGGCATTTGCAGACGATGATGACGACTTTAGTGTACCATTGCACGTCAACACGAGAACTGCCCTCAGGACAGACAGTATCAGTCCTCAAGCACCTGACAGGTAAAATAAAAGAAAACTTTAAAAAATAAACACCAGTCTTGCTTCACAAGTAAAGTGTTTTGTTTTTGGAAATATAAATATTTTAAATGTTGTATATTTATTTCCAGAACCTCATCTAGAAAATTCATGTATGAAAAGATGACGATGCGTGAATGGAGTACAAGCACCACACCAACTAGTACTCAAGCGCCTGGCTTACTGTCATTAGCTGAACCCATCACTAATGGAGAAAATATTGTAAGTAAATCAGTTTTCAAACACTAAGATATAGCCGTCGCGATAACAGTTCATCATACATTTCTCAGCTTAAGTGATATGGACCATGTAGGTAAGTATTTTCTTTTAGAATAAAAAATAAAAATGATAGCATCCTTCGATCACGAGTTGCAAGAATTTTTGGAGCGGAAATCGCCTTTCTATTCTATCAAACTAATATATGATAGGTATCTCCACATTACGAAATTAATTCATGCAAATATAAATAAAATAATATGAAACCTTCTAGAGTGTGATAAGCCAGAGAACTCTATTTAGGATATTTTTGAACTTTATATATACCCTACATTCTGAATACTTTTCCTGTTCTTAGGCACAATCTCTGGATCTAGGAGGAATTGAACTATGGAAGTAGTACCCATGTATTACAACCATTTCAGCCTCTGTCACGGGCAGCGTGATAATATTGTATTTTTTTGACAAAAGCATTTAAATAAAATTATCTAAAATATAACATTTATAAAAAATCATCTTACTATTAAAAAAAAAAATCTATGCGATTAGTGACACATCTTTTGGTGATACGGTCTAGAACCAAATCAACCGTAAATATGTTGCTGCCACTAATCACTGTTCTACAGAATTAGCCACCATACTTAATATTTCAAAGAGAAAGTATTTCAAATTTTACTATTGAACAAAGGGAAATCTATTATAAAATTTTCCACATTGTCTCTAATTATTTAGTAAAATTGTTTTTCTAAAAGATGCCTTGGGGGGCATTTAACAATGATATTGCAACACCAACCTGTTATGAGAAAAATCCAAACGAACATAGTCGGGTGATGATTCCTGGTATGCTGGGTAAAATTGTTACTCAGAGGAAAAACTATTACAGTCAGTATTTGGAGACCTGAATTTTATTCGAAGCAAAGGAAGTATTAGTTATACGAATGCGGAGTATTAACCCTTAAATGTCCAAGCAGCCGCAATTAGTGAAAAAAATATACCGGAAATTGTTGCGGATGAAGTGGTTTACAATTCAGTTCTGGGAAGAGTTCAAAGTGTCGGTGTGGATTTAAGAACTGGTAGTTTTTCCCATAAATAGTTGTACGTAGATTTTTCGCTAATGCGTGCTGCGTGTTTGTTTGAATTGGTCCCTGAAAGAAAATTAACTAATGTATAAAAATATTCTGTATAAAAGTTAACTATTAACTATTTCATGAAATCCACACGGACGAAGTTGCGGGCACCAGTTAATCGAAGAAAATTCGAAACGCACTGCAGTAAAAAAAATATAACTCCTAAATATAAATCAGAACGAGAGCATTTCATTATCAGCGAGCGTATACGTACTATCTATTGTTAAAGTTATATAGTTTAATTTGTCAATAAAATATTTTTTCTGAATGACACTACTTGATGATGACTAATTAAACAGAAAAAGTGCCCAACGTCCCTAAAACTAAATCCAGCATTTAAAATTACACAATAATTATATTGTTTACATGTGTTCTGTGGTTTACATGGTATCCTGCAGTCGAGAGGAATAATTACTTGAGATAATTGCATAACTTAGACAAATATTTTTATCCAATAGACGAGAATTTGGTTGAAGTAAGAACTGTCAGAAGCTAATAATCAAAGTAATCTAACTTACTTCATTCAAATTCTTGTTTGTCAAAAATATATGCTTACCATTGAAGTTTTACATACAGTTTTTTAATACTTTTATCAGGTGCGAGAGCGATCAGAAAGTTGGTCGCGATCAGAGTCGCGCGCGGGCACGCCAGCGTTCCCGACGCACCCGCGCACACCGTACCCCCCCACTCCAACACCTTCGCTCAGCGCCCGCCCGCCGCGCTCGCCGCCAGTCACCAGGTACAGCAGAGCAATTTTAGAAAAATCCGAACCCAAATTCGAATTCACTCGTGTGTCCGAATCACGTCAATTAGTGAAGAAATCCTTTTGATTCCATTTTTTTGTATAAAAATACAAAACAAGATTATACGAGTCTCAAATATGAAATTCCAAGTCATTTTGAAACTCACTTCACTTATGCCACGAAATTTGTTACCATTTCAAAATTGAGCGTATACAAATTTTCCAGAGTGAGTTCGGACACCTGAGTGGATTCGAATTCGGGTTTGGATTTTTACAGAATCGCAGGGCAAATTATATATATTCTCCGTCTTATTTTTTTCTATAGGCATATCTCCGAACAATAAAAGTAAACATTTAAAAATTTAATAAAGCTTCCGAATGTAGAGAAATGCCTTATAAATCTTATTGAAAATATATCACGGTCTCTAGAAAATTAGTGATAATTTCCTGTAATAGGGATGTTGCCTGGATAAAATAAAATTTATTTAGTCCGAAGTTAGATAATAGAAAAATATGAAACATATTTTCTTTTTATTTTGTTACCATTTAACAAGAAATTACTTAAATAGTTGTGACGTCATGCAACACGTATTATTAAATGCGCAAAAAAATACGTGTTCAACACACGCTTCAATAATCTACCTCACGCGTACAAACAAAAATTATTCGTCAACCCTATTTAATGGTAAAGATACTGTAAAAATAAAATGAGTAATTTATAAACTTCCCAACCTCTTTGAAATTCCTTTCTAAAGTCAACATGAAAAATATTTCAACGACACCTACCTAATATTTTAATTTTTGTCTATAGGAAAGAGCGCGAAGGCAGCCCTGAGTCGGAGTATAGGACTTACAACGGCAGCTGCGGGTCGCGGCGCTCGAGTCTCGGTGGTAACGCGGAGCCGCAACACGTCGCACCAGATCGAGTGCGTTTCGCACGCGACACCAGCCACTACTGGTACAAGCCCAACATATCGCGCGACGACGGTAAATATCTACCGGTTTAAAAAATTCCACACTATGATCGTACGAATGATGTAATATAGAGCAGCACTAATGTACTCATGATAACCCAGCCTATAAATGGGGCTGAGGCTCAGGCCTTCCCTATGTATGGAATCAACGTTTTGAATAGGGAGAATATTCCATGACCCAGCACGCGGGCGAAGTGCGGATTGCACCAATCCGCACTTCGCATTACCGACTGCAGATGCAGATGGGACCAACCGCTTAACGTGCCTTCCGAAGCACGGAGGAGGTCGAGGTAATAAATTTTTGGTCACTCATCCTGATATGACCGGTCCTTGCGAAAGTTTCTTAAAAAAACCCTAACCACTGCTATAGCCATAGTAGTATAATCGTTAGAGATGATTACAAAGTACGGAACTAAATGTTTACCTGAAGCACATTACAAATTTTCCGAAAATGTTATAAAATTTTACTATTCATAAAGGGTAACCGGCATCATCATCAAAATTGTAACAAATACTCAAATGATCAATGAATCCAAAAGTAAATTTGAGCTTTCTATAAGCAATATGGGATCTTTCTTTGGTAACGTTCTCCAACAACCCTGTTCTAAGAAGGACCGGTTGAAGCATGGTTGGCCTATCTGGTAAAACTCTTATCCGGGATTCAGCAAGAAGCCCGCCAGATCCAACCCCACAATATAAGGACTACTCGAAATATTTGTTAAATTTCCCAACATCGATTTTTGCAATTGGTATAGATAATTTTAACATACAAAATACAAAAGTGACAAGCAGTTAATCAAAACAGTCATTTGTAAATTAGACTAACTTAAAAACTTTTGTAAACACTAGACATTCAAAAGGATAAAGAGAATTTAAGTCGAAATGTCTTTAAAAGCGTATAATAATATCTACATACATTCAAAACGTTTCGTTCGTTCGTTCGTTGCATATAGCAAACAAGTATGATATCACAAAATAATTTATGTTTTTTGTTTTTAGCGGTGGCAGCCCTCCAGCCGTTAGAGGAAGGTTCGTTTATAGTGCGCGATTCAAATTCATTCCCGGGCGGATTCGGTCTAGCGGTGCGCGCTGGTCCAGTGGGGGCAGTCCGGCATTTCCTCGTCGAGCCGACGGCTAAAGGCGTACGGTTACGCGGCTGCCCCGATGAGCCCGTATTCGGCTCACTATCGGCTTTGGTTTACCAACACACTGTTACGCCTCTAGCGCTACCCGTCCCACTGAAACTACCCGACAGGTGCGTTCTGATTACTGTATAAGAATAAAAACATTTAACTTGATCGATATGGTATTTTGAGGTGACTTATGATAAAATGGATTACTGAAAACTGTGCTCATGATATAGATAGAAAAATAACGAATTCCAACAGCAAAACCAATCTAAATACTACTCTGTCTGATGTGTTTACTGCAACATTCTTGAAGTTATTTTGTCATATTACACGTTGTTGGTACAATAAAAGTTATGTACTTAGTTATAATAAACATTAGTATGTTAAAAGCCTTTAATGTCCTTAACTAATCACCAGTAGTTTTTACTCATTTTATTTGAATCTTATTTCTTAATATGGACTTTTCTATATTGTCCTGAGTCTGGGTGTTGTGGTACCTCAGTTGTCTTAGATATTCCATAATACGGGAGCTTTAGCTACTCATCTTGGAATCTGTGCTATGTACGCATGTGATGTTGTTTTCATATGAAAAATATCACAAAAGAAATCGACGCTGGCTCGATGCAAACTGACAATATATTTTTCTTAAAAACAAAATTATACATCAAAAACCATAGAGAAATAGTACAATTAAAAAGTTAAGGTAATACAAAAAATTTTTATTCTGCCATACTAAGTCGAATGATGATTGACAGAGACCCGTGGTCTGGCGGCGGCGCCAATGCAGCGGCGCGGGCGCTGCTAGCTACAGGTGCGGCGTGTCACGTGCTCTTACTCGGTTCTGAAAACACTGAAGCTCTCACTGGACCCGCGGCTGTTAAACGAGCCGTTCAAAATCTACTAATAAAAAAGGTATTGTTTTAATAAAATTAGGTAATATTAAACATTTGAGGTGATCACCTTGCCTAAAACGTAACGTATCAGATTCGTGAAATATGCTTTAAATAAACCACCAGCCTCATGTACCCCGTAATGAAACTCGAGAGGTGTGTAAAGTAGCGAATGCTTGAAATAATCGTAAATCCTGTTTGGTCTCGGGTAGCCCAATGGTTAAAACAGTTGTGAGTTCGAGTCCCATTTCGGGGTAACTGGGGCTGGTAGATGTTTTAAGCATTTTTCATTAAATATAGTATAGCATTGTGAATGCAAAATTAATCAAATATAATGTTAGATTCGGTTTACAGCATTTTCAATTCAATTTGTACATTTTATGTCAGGTTCTCTTCTTTCACTAATGTCTTGTAATGTGTAATGCCAGGGAGCACCTTCAAAATAGTGAAATATTATTTTATAAAGAAAAGAGATATTTTAAACATTTGAAAGCAATGAGCTTAATTTAAATACGAGTATTAAGAACTGCCATTGTTCCTCTTTGTCAATTTTAATTACATCTAACTCGAATAAACTAAAATATTCGACGAAGTATGTTATTCCTTCAAATTGTGTGAATGCCTTCGTAGGTACCAGCGCACGTGGTACACTTCAAAGTATTCGGCGGCGGTATCACCTTAACGGATGCGGCGCGTAAGCTGTTCTTCCGGCGGCATTATCCGGCAAATGGCGTATCGTATGCCGGACTGGACCCTGATGACCGCCGGTACACTTACACTGACAACGGCACGCAGACGGAAAAGTAAGTTTTATGATCTTTATTTCGTTTTGGCTTGCCCATGTCATCCCCTTTTAGAACATGAAAACTGCGTTACGCACTATCCCTGCCTCCTGATGGGATGGCAAGGTGTGTTTAAAACTCTCGTACTCTAATTAACCTATTCAATAGGGTGAATAAATCAAAGGTTGGAGGTCTGAACACTCAGAGAATGAAGAACTTTTCCCTTGTTGTCTGGGGCAGTTCAATACGCAATTATCGACAACTCGGGCTTGTTCTAGTATAAGAGTAATACCTAGATACGCTATCCTTCCCCTCTACTTGTAGCCTATATCTGGAGTATTCAGCTGCTTGATCTAGTATGGAAATAGTAAAAATCAATCGATAGATTGACAATATCGTCTATCTTATTACTGACATTCAACTTTTGGGTTGTTTGCCTTTTATTTACATCAATGTTAATTAATTATTATTTTAAAACCACTCGTTTTGTACAGACGCATCTTCGCATTTGTGGCGCGATCATCTTCTGGTGCCGATAACCAATGCCACGTATTCGCCGAGCTAGAACCAGAACAACCAGCTACCGCCATAGTCAACTTCGTCAATAAGGTAATAAAGCCTATTTTCTTAACAATATAATAATCTGTAAAGACAAAATTGCTGTCTATCAATAAATTCTTCAAATATAATAGTGTTGTTTCGTTAAAAATATAGCGTTACAGCGGTGCAGCAACATTAGAAATACAATCAAATAAATCCTACTTTAGACGGTTATAACGTTTTATTTCATTGTACTTCTAATGCTGTGATAACCGACAAGGCTGTATTTTTAACATAATACTCGTAGCAAAGCATCTATGAGTTCGGAATGGTATACGATTGTACCTAATGCTCTTTATTTTAATTTTAATAGAAGAGTTTATTAATAGGCCTATTATATGCCGGCTTTAAGTAATGCATGTCATTTACTGATTTAATGAAATGTGAGTGAGTCAATCTAAAGTAGAAGTCTAAAGTTTATTTAATTATAAATGAAGAGTTTCATTCTATAAATTGTTAGCAACAACCTTTAAGTAAACTTTGTAGTTTTATTATGCTTTTTAGTTTATTATAATAGTGTTTCTATAATCGTTATTCTGTTACAGGCTCTTCTCGGGAACACACAGAAAAGAGACATCATATAGAACGAGCTCGATCATTATACAAATACTCATGGCAAAAGTGTATAACACGCCTAATGTGAAGGGCCGTGAATAATATGAATGTTATGATTAAATACATATTACGATGAATTATTTTTCGATGTAATTTCTTTTCAATACGCTTCATTTTCACCAAGTACAATTAACCATTTATATAATGTAAGAGTCGATAATGGAATATTACCTACATTAATATAGATTAAAGGAGAAACTAACTAGTCTCATATTTAATTAATACTTAGAATAGTGATATAAGCGTGCCTAAAATAGAGTACATCAGTAAAATACATTACAACGACGGCGACAAAAAAATAAGTCAATTATCCATTGTATGGCTTTGTACGAACATGTATTTAATGCACCGAGCTAAAAGAATATATTATATTCACTATAATGTTTTAATAGTACAACGAATTATGGGTTTGATTACAAGAATAATGTACCGACCTACTACTTTATATAAGATACAAGCCAGTGGATTACAAGATATCAAATTATTATACAATAAAATAAATTGAGTGTCAAGATCAGTTATTTGTAACAACGATGGTCGAAAACAATTAATAATTGCAGCTAGGTTTAGGTTTATGTGTATAAATTATTTAATATTTGTTAGGGTTAACTAGAACCATAGGGAAAATGCCTTAACAGTGATCTTTGTTACAGAATATTATAATAAAATATATTTGAATGTGTCTGGTGACATAAGATAATTTAATATAACACATCTATTGTAATAAATAACTGTTTAAAATGTATTTATTGGTTATATACTATTACATTCATGAGGTCATTAAAACAGTGTTTTATTTTATACATATATATTCCTACTTGTCAATTAATAATAAATGTGTCACTAAGATAATTTACTTCGACTAATATAATTAAAAAATCAAGATATATCATTCCAGCCAAGTGACATTTCTTTTTTTTTTATTACAGACTAGTTTTTTCTTTAAACCTTAGAGTGACATGATTTGATATTGCCTCTGTGTTTATTGGAAGTTCGGATGGCAGCGGACGTCTGTCAGTCTTCGGAGCGTCCGAAGCGTAGATGTCCGTAGTCATCGAAGGCGTCATCAGCTCGTGCGGCGCGTCGTATGAGACTGTAGTCACGGTAGAGTCGACGCGGTCGGGAGTCGTCCTCGTCATCGGATAGAGGGTATCTCTGCAGTCCCACAGCTTCGCAGTAGCGTAGGAACAGTGATAGCGTCACTGCCACTGCCAGCGCGACTATAGTGACGACACGCATCTTGTTTATTAACACACCTAAAAAATATGACAAAAATTAATTAAAGAGGCATACTTAGTAAAGGTGAGGCGTATTTATTACGTATCAGTTATTTTATACTAGGAGCATAGATTCGAAAATTCGAAATATTTGATCTACCTGGTATTTCTGTAAATTACATGAAATCATTTAGTATTTCTAAGCACTTTCATTATATTTCAGTTAAGATCATACATATGAAATGGAAAAATTATTTACCTAGTCTAGCCATAAATTCTATAACTGGTTATTTACACACATTTAAATAAAAACATTTATTAGAATTTCGAACATTAGCTTCTACGATAAAAAATTTACTTCTTTCCCGCCATTATTGTATGTTTTTTGTTTAGAAATTATTTGTTTTGAAAATGGAGTGGGGCACTAAAGAGAATAGGATTGCAGTAATTGCACTGTACGAAGTAGGTAAGGAGCCAGCCGACATTTTTGATACATTGAAAAAGCTACGGATTAGCCGAATGTTTGTGTAGCGTACCATCCAAAGATGCACCGAAACCATGTCTGTTGATGACCGTGAGAGATCCTACCAACCGCGGTCTATTCGAACAAACCGGGCCGTTGATTCAGTCAAGGCCAGAATTCGTCAAAATCCCATAATGAGACAGAAAATCCTTTCCACAGAAATGAGAATCCCACCGAGGAAACTTTCTCGGATTATCAAACAAGACTTAGGTCTAGGGGCTTACCGGAGATACACAGGACATATCTTAAATCAGGCAATAAAACAAAAGAGAGTCGAAAGATCAAAACTGCTGTTACTTCGATATGTGGACGAAAAAGACGAAAAAGTTTTTACAATCGAGAAGTATTACAACAAACAAAATCATGGAGTGTATGCACACAGCTCTAAAGTAGCTTCCGAGGTAGTGGCCGAAGTTCTGCGAGGCCATCATCCAGCATACGTAATGGTTTGGTGGGGTGTCTCCTACTGAGGGGTTACAAAACTCCATATTTGCGAAAAAGGAGTGAAAACTTCATCCAAAGTGTATCAAGACACCGTGTTAGAAGCGGTAGTTAAACCTCTCAACAACACCTTATTCACACACGAACTGCCCAAATTTGGCTTGAGAAAAATGTTCCAGACTTCATAACGACTGATGATTGGCTTAGTTCGGACTTAAACCCTTTGGACTATAAATTGTGGTCTGTACTAGAGAACATGGCCTGCTCTAAGCGTCACCCAAATATTGAGTCACTCAAGAAATCTTTGGAGGCAGCAGTGACCAAGTTTCCAATGGTAACCGTTTGTAAATCCATCGCCGCATGGGCCGACCGTTTAAAAGCGTGAGTTAAAGCTAAGGTGGACACTTTGAATAACTAGTTTAGTACGTTAACATATATTTTTCACTCTACATAATCATATATAAAACTTTAAAATAAAATTATTTTTTTAAATATTGACGGATATTTTCTTTGTAACAGAACTTATCGCTACTCTAGGTATTTCATGTCGTTAATATAATTACCTTTATATTAACGACATGAAGTTGCCTTTTTAGATTTAAGTTTGTACTACTTGTAAAAGCTGAAAATGCCTTCGCTCCTACAACCAGTGTCAACTTTTGACCCGCACGCATTTATTTTCTCACGCAGACATCACGTAAATATCCTTATATCGTATTAGAGTGCAATAACCTCTGGCAATCTACATAACATTTATTTTCATAAACTCAATAAAGGTGACGATAATATTAGTACTTGCACGGCGATGCATTCTCAATTTTAGCTATTTAATTTAAACTATTCTGTGTGAGCAAGCAGCTCAGGAATACGGTATGAATTATTAATATTTGGGTTTAAAGGACACCAGATCCAAAAATAAAATTCAGTTTAAAGATTTACTATGGTCCTTTTTAGGTTTACAAGAATCTCTGTCTGTCCGACCGCCCATCTCAGCTAATTTACTCTGAAATTATTGGCCCGAATAAGTTGAAAGGCACACATACATAAGTGAATAACCAGAAAATAAATTGTAAACATGAAAAACGCTAAAACAAGAAAATACTAGTCTTTTTCTTACTTTATGCTCTCTAGAGGGCATATAATAAAAACAATACATATAAACAATAGTTATATAAAAAATAAAAATACGCATGTATTTAATTAAAAATCTTCTTCTGGAACAATACAATGAAATGTTGTAGGTACTCACCGTAATGAACGAAAGCCACAATGAAGAATGGTCAGATGAAACAATAAGCTCGGTTTATATACTAAAGTCACCCCGTAGGAAAGCACATCTCCCCCTTTTTTAATATTCCCCTCGCGAGAAGTTTGTTCGAAAAGCACAACGAAAATTGACACATTTCAATTATTATAAATTCCTTAGATTGATCTTATTAGTGGATGAAAATTATTTTTCTTAGGATTACGAAGCTTTTCAGACATTTTCAGATAAAAGATAAAATAGTATACGTTGGTAGGATTACAATAAATGTAAAATTACAAAGTTTTGTTTTTATTTCGATTGTTTTTATTGATTTTATTAAATCTTTACACAGGGGACTTTTATTGACTTTATTAAATACGTGGCAGTTCATAAAGTACCTAAATAGAAATGGTACACGGGTATTTATCCCCGTCACACGGGGTGTACACCATACTTTACACATCGATTGCAAAAAAAAAACAAAGCCATTCATTATAAAGTAGTTTAGTTTATAATTAAATACTAATAATATAAAGAGGAAATATTTTTCGTTTGCATAGAACAGGTTTTCGGAACTACTGGATAGATTTTAAAAAATCTTGTACCTTCGAGAACCTTCATCAAAAGTCGCGAGAAAACAGCAAAATAAACAATTTAGAAATTCTGGATGTTTAGCCGTCAAAGTTGCCGCTTTTTATCCCTTTTTTATGAAATAACAATTTACTGTCTCAACTCATGGTTCTTTGGAATTTCACTCGCAATCGAAGATGTAGGTATGTAAATAGAAGTCCACAAGGCAGCCGTGTGCTCCTGCACTAAATTCACGTAACACTTCTCTAGTTAATGGCCCACACTCCTTAATAAACTATGAATAAGTCAAATAACAATAATTGTTATTTATAATTATTATAAAACCAAAACAACAAAAGAAGATTAAATAAAATAAATGGTCACTGTCAAAAAAAAATATTTTCTGTAAACTGTACAAAATTAAATTAAAATATTCTCTCCTGTAACAAGTAATTATATTTTAGCCCCGCTTTGTTACGGTATAATGACAGACTCCCTCAGCAAGAAAAGTAAAACAGACCAAAAAAAGAATTCCCCTACCACTAAGTTCAGGACTCGTCTTTTAGCTGACAAGAAGAACAAGCGAAAGAAACTTACCAGCTCTTTATAGTAATGACATTTACATAAATTATGGCACTACCACAATAGTACGTATTATAACATAATAATTACAATTTTCAAAGTCTGCAGGACATAGATTGGTACATATGATTAGTGGTTATGGAACAAAACAATTATAGAACAAGGTCCTTGAAATAATCATCAACTTTATAATAATCTTTACTCATAAATATGTTGTTTAGATGAATTTTAAATTTATTTACGGGTAGGTCAATTACATTTTGTGGAACTTTATTGAACATAGAAATGCATTTACCCAGAATTGATCCTCTGGTTTTTTGTCGAAGTCCGAAGCTTGGAACGGAATTGTAATGTTGTTAAGAGTATTCAGTGCGTTAAAATGGTATAATTTTAAACTGTAATACCAATAAACAATACAAATATAAGTCATTATAGTGAATTTGTCGGAAAAGAATTACCTACTTCGTGAATTAAGCGCGAGATCGCGAACAAGTCATCTCTTTCCAGTGAACTTTTCCGTAGCTTAAGTAGGAATACTTAAGCTTTAAAACTCCAAAGAAGCATTTCACAATATGTTTAACATCGATTTTAATAAATATAATATTAAAAATATTTACTTCAGTTTAGGTCGTATGGGATAGTTCCCTTGGCATTAAAGATGAAAAAAATAACCGGCAGTATCCCGCCTTTTTTAAAAATATGTGTTTCTAGATCTGCGTTTTTTTAAAGTTACTAACGTTATAATAAAACAATGAAAGAATTTGAAATATTTGAACAATTATTTTTAGAACTTCTAGGGGAATATCAATCGATTAGCGTAAGTATACATTATGAAAATTATTATATTTAGAGGTTATTATCAACTTTCGAATTATTAAATTCAAAAGTTGATAATTTCGAATTATTGTCAAATAGTCAATTATATGTAAATCGCTTTTGTTAGAAATATAAAAATCACAATTTGATAGTGCAGGTACAGAATTGTGTTTTCTTTTTATTCACTTCTAAGTCACATTTCTCAAATTTACTAACAATTCTTGATAACAAATTTTAAGGTTGGCTGTAAGTACCTACATTGTTAGAAATTTATTTTAGCTTAGATAAAGATATTTTGTGGAATCTGTTTAATTTCATTAACCTTCATACATGCTGATATATATTTACATACTTATATCAAAATAATTACTCAGACATCTGAAGGTCGTCTCCGAGAGGCTTTCCGTGCGGAATCCACTCGTGTTCAAGCAGCAGAGGCCGCACGTGATGCGGCAGAACGTTCCGCTTCAGACGCTAGAAATACTGCCGCAGCGGCAGCGGCAAGCGCGACCCAGGCTGCTGCAGCACTCTCACAAGCACAGGAAGAACTCACTGGCCTTAAAATGCAAACAGATTTAGTGGTGATGGTTTCAGCTAACATTTTATAAATAATGCGTTCTGGTTCAGGCGAAATTTTACCAAAACATTTTCGATCAATTTTTATTCATGTTTATAAGGAAAAAGTAGGTAGACTTCGCCAACGTAAGTATAGCTTATGTCGACACCAGCGTATTATGTAGTTCCCATAAAATGTAATGTATCGGATATATCGTCTATTTTTTGCAAACTAACAAAAATAATAATAAAATTTTTCCTATTTGTAATATTTGTATAGATAACTAGAAATGAAACAATAGTTCTGGTTGAAACTTGAAAGTTTGGTTCCTAAAAACTCATATTTCTAATAATATAGGAACGTCAAAGAACTCTTCTAGAAGAACGTTGTTCGGAGATGACACAACAAATGAACTCACTAGAGAGAGAGCTGCAGCAATTGAGGCCACTACAACCCGCCCAGGCTGCTCTACAACGTCAATATCTAGAATTACAAGAACTTATCAGGATAGCTACAGAACAAGCACGCGAGTTCGTATTCATGGTCACTATGCTTAGATTTAATGAAATCTCAATTATCCCTAATAAAAACTCTAAACCTAAATCAACAATTTAATTTTAAACTTACATGGTCATGATTGCTAAAAACGGGATCGCTTCCTTGTTTTTATTGAGTTACCGATATTTCGGCTCTGTTGCAAGCTTACAACAGCGAACTCGATAAAACAATACTTAATTTTGATACTGTTGTTAACTGAAAATATTTATTGAAATATCTCTTTTAATCTACTTTGGAAATGACGTATAATTAATGTAAATTTTCAACGGTATTATTTAAAACTTAAAAGCACAGATTGTGTTATCACTGGAGATACTAGTAATTGCAAGTATTTTAAAATTCGTATAATGAAAATGTTTTTATTTATTTAATGCCAACATACTTTTGGCGACCTCCGTGGCTAAGTGTCTCGCATGCCACTCAAGGTTTCGTTATTTACAAGGTTCCAGGATCAATTTATGGTCGATTACCTTAATCCAAGTGTTTTAGCTACTTATTTATACTCGAGCAATTTATGTAACGTGGTCTTATATTTATTTATAGTTTATGGAATACCGTCTAGCGCATAAAATAACATAGCGTGTTATAGTGAATCGTCCCGGCTGGAAGCAGAACTGCGTAGAGTTGAAAGATGCGCCAGCGGAGGTTCTGAATTACGTGAACGTGCACGTCTTGCAGCCGCCGCTCACGCTCGCGAAAGGAAACTCGCAGCCGCAGAACTGCAACATACAACTAACGAACTGAAAACAGCTAACGGTAATTAGATGAATAGAGACGAAAACTTCAAGTTATGGCGTACCTATTACAACTAAACCTCTTGAACGTTGAATTTGTCAATCTTATGCCCCAGGAAAAACAAAATACGATTAATTCTAACCGACAAACAATTTGATATTTCTTCTTTATTATTGACAAAATAAATTACTAATTCGTAGGTACTAATTATAGATACATTAATCTGTTTTAGTTGAAATCGCAAGACTCGGAGCTCTCGTGGCTGATTTGCAACTTCGAATTTCCAAACGTACTAATTCTGAATCAAAAGATAATACAGATTCAGAAGCCTTATCTGAACTTCGCGCCGTTCTCGAAGCAGAGAGGGCAGGTTCTGCCAGACTAGAACGAGCATTAGCCGCCGCGTTAGCTGACAATGCGGCGTTAGCTGCCAATCTACATGTTGCTGATAATGCATCTTCCTCATCACAACCAAACCCAGAACCAATGGCTACAAATATTGGCGCTGTAGAGTCTTTCCTTGCAGAATAAGTAAACTTAAATAAATAAAAATCAATATTTTATGCATCACGCAATTGTTTTTTGATGTTGGTATATTGCTTTTGAACACATTACTCTAGATATTTATACTTTACATTCGAAAGAATTCCCTTGAGAGATGAAATTTTTATTCGTTAATAGTATTGATAAAATCTTTACGTATGAGTACCCATCTGAGATGCAACGAAAACAGTACAAAATAAAAGATGAATGTGGGTAAACCGGTTGTTGTTTTATAATAAGTATCTGACCGGTTACACTAGAGGAGACTTTGCCAAAGCGACGATAGTGACCTTTGCAAACGCAAACTTTTTTCTATTATTTCATACGATTTGGAGAGATATAACCAAAAATTGTTTACAAATTTTGAAAAACGCCTTTACCGTAAAGTTCTACGTCATTTAATGGGCGACGCGTATCTCGGCCAATGCACTGTAGTGCGCTAAAACTTGTTTCCATGAATGCATCTTGCTTGCCCGCACCAATTGTTCTATCAAAACTCTATGTCCACTAAAAAAGACCTTCCTATCTCTGCATAAATAAGTGCGAATAGTATCCAAATTTGTTTTGGTGTATCAGGATACATTATGTAGGTGGTTTCCGCACTAAAGATTGTAAAAGATCGTGGGTGCAATGCGATCTAGGGTTGCCTACCGTACTATACCACATTTTGAGCCTGCATAATATATACTATTGGAGAAAAATATAGTACGCAAAAATACTATATATTCAAAATCGAAATCTAACAAATAAAATTTTCGTTTATGTAAGCGCCTAAAACATTTTCTTTTAATTTATTCAAATTATCTAAGCTTACCTCTTCTAATAACGGGTACTTTATACCACTGTAAGATGTCCTGGACAAGTGATAGGAAAATTTAATGATTCAAAACTATGCTTTTCATTCTATAGCTTGTGATATACACTACTAATGCATTTTTTTCATATCTACAATAGGTAGATACTATATATTTTTTTAAGTATACTATGTTTTATAAGTTTGTTTTTGAAAATACTATTTTTGCTAAATAAAAGTTGGTAACCCTAGCAACCAGTGGCTGGCGGATTTTCGCAAGGCTTCTCAGCGCCCCACTCGGCTGCGTAGGCGCCTCGCGCTAGTACCACTGCATAACGCGAGCATACCGCGCGCTTCTGCACGCCACGCGCGCCCATACGTAACAATCTGTGATATAGTGTTAAGTTACATATAATTTATTACTGGAAACAAGTGAAGTGCCAGACAGGTGAGATCATCACAGTGGTACAAATAAACGTGCATTTATTTTTACTTGCAACATTCGTGTTGCGGGTATTTGTGTAAGCTCTACATTTAAACTTAAAACAAGTGCAAGTTCGGAATCATCAAAGTGCATTCCGCTTAAATTACAGTTTTCATCGTTACTATTAAGTATATAGATAAATTTTGAAATATCCGAGTTCATGAGCTATGTTATTGTTTAGAATCACTCGCGTTCTCTAATGCAACGCTTGTTTTGTTGATGGTGAATGTAATCATCACAAAGAATACAACTGCGGTGTGTATCAAGAGAAAGTTTATACTTGGCGCAACACATATATAACGTTGACTGTTGAAGGAAACTGAAGTGTAAATGATTAATTAATCTTAATTTTCAAAGTTATTAATATTAAGTAACTAACGGAATTATAAATGATATTATATCATAATATTGTTTTATTTTTAGTTAGTTTTATCTGCCAAAATCTAAATTTGTGTTAAGTTTGTTTTACCACACCTGACTTAAAGGCTGTTCCGCCAACGCAAGATGTTGTCACAGTGAGTCAGACGCGCTAGGACGCAAGGCCGGCCAACTCAATCGGCTATGACAAATATGTAAATTCAATACATATGTAAGTATCACCTACGACTCTGATGACAGAACTGTTATGAAAGAAATAAGGCTAGGAAAATAAATATTTTAATAGATATTTCAGAAATCTAGAGTTCAATAAGAGATTTCTGATATATTTATTATTAATAACGTTAAAATCTCGTAATCTTAATAATATATCGTTTAATTTAATTATAAACGATGTTAGAAAACGTTTTCCAGGATACATATCAGCTATACTATCCTAAAACACAAACAGAAAATTTCGTTTGCTCAATTGGTCTGGCCGGCAGTCGAATGTTAGACCTAACAACTAAAAAAAAAACACAAAGCACCACACCACCAAGTACCACATCTTTAAGTTTTAAAATTCCATTATTTGAATTTAAAAATGTTGTTTATTTCTAAAACCTCGCTTCTTCATTTTCGAAGAACAGCTGTTCTCAAGTATACTCCGCGGGCTATGAGTGCTGCTACCCGGGTCCTCAAAGTATATGTTATAATTATTACCTACTCAATATAAACTTAATATTGCTTATCGAAGAGAAGTTATTGGAATACGCTCGTGGGTAGATATTCATATGTATATAATAAAATGTAAAAATGAAGAATATACAAAAAACTATATTTTGTTTTTAGGGTCCATATTAATATTAGGTTTTCCAATATGGTTACAGTGCTAAAAACTAATAACCGAAATTTAATAATTACAATAATAATAAATTAATGACCGCCATAGCCGCCATAGTTTGATTCTCAATCGGGTCATTGTAATATATGAACATTCTTAATCTTTAATTTTCTATGTTGTGGTACATTAGTTTTTCGGATTTTTTTAAATACAAGTGCCATATTATTTGGGATCCGAGTACATAATAATAATAATATTTTTTATTTCCAGTAACAACAGTTTCTTAAATATACAAGTAGTGTAAACTTAATAACAGTTACATTATTAAAATCATACAATAAATAAAATAAGTTTTACTCGTACAAGGCATCTGCTGCCAAACTAAGATGGTTATAATATATATGATATTGCCTAATATGTATAATAGTCGCTTTCTCGCAACTTCGAGTAAATTATAATAGCCTATGTAACCCGCGTATGTTGTAGTTTAGCTGGTGACAGAATTTTTAAAATCGTCCAGTAAATGCTGAGCCAATTAAAAGTCAAACAAAAAATCAAATCGTTCCTCTTTATAATACTAGTTTTCCACCAGCGGCTTCGCCCGCGTGATTCCTAGGAAACTGATTTTTTTAATATCGATTCATAATCATGATACGGATATAATTACAATGGGAAATTTAATAGAAACAATGGTTACTATGGTAACGTTTTAATTTCGTATATGGATTTCCTCTCCTTTTTTCATTCCTTTATTAGCTTTTGTTCGAGATAAAATATAGCCTATATTCATATGATTCAATTCATATATGCATGCGATGTAGCTTCTGTTGAATTTTTAAAATCGGTCCAGTAATATCGGTGGTTTGCTAATGCAAACAAACAAACGATCAAATCTTTCCTCTTTATAATATAAGTATACTAATATTATGAAGAGGAATATATTAGTATACTAATATATTTTTAACGTTCAAAGAATCAATGACGAACAACTATAAAACAAAAACTGAACTAAACAACAATAAAAATCTATAAAAAAAAACCGCATCAAAATCCGTTGCGTAGTTTTAAAGGTTTAAGGATACATAGGGATATAAGTACAGAGAAAGCGACTTTGTTTTATACTATGTAGTGATGCTTTTCTATTTTTTTTCAGAACAATGAACCAAGCGCCACTTCGTAGCATCATTGTAGTTCTGTTATCTGCGGCTCTCGTACAATGGTACGTTATATAAAACCTCCAATGCATTCCAATTACTTAATGTAATGGCGGCATATGGCATATGCTAACGCTGAAATTTCATTATATCGTCTAAACAAAAGAGAATGTAATGTTCAGTGTGCATTTAAAAGGTAAACATTTCACTTTAGCTAAAACGCCATAGCCCACATAAAAACAAAAAAAAAAAACAAACAAAATAAAAACATCTGATATTTTTTAAGATTTGCACATGTAACGTATAAGTAAAGTAGTCGTTAGTTAATCACAGTCACATATGTATTCCAATCGAACCTGAACTACATTGTTTTTCTTAAATCATTTGCATTAGGCAATCCTTCGTCACCTTATTTTTTTTTTATTAAGAAAAAAAATGTCTATGGCTTGAGTTTTATCATACAAGGTTACGGAGACGATGCACCGGACAGCTATTTTACTTTGTTATATTCTGTGAAGATCTTTTCCTACAAACTACTAATTATATCTAAGATGAATAGCATGAGATCATCGCCTTTAAACATATTTCCTAAAATATAAAATAGAATATTATTTATTCTCAGAGTGCTAAAACGTTAAGACGCTGAATAGTGCCAAATCGATAAAATTGATCTTGGATTGTACTAATTCACGGGAAACCTATGGCAATCCAAAAATTTGTGGTTATACTTGATCGTATTTCTGATCTTGTGGTTGAAACCGAAACATGATTGTATTAACTTCACTCGATAGAAAATAATTCCAAAGTAGCATCTAAAAATATTGCGAAAGGCACGTTTCTCAATTATGTGATACATTAGAGTAGTGATATTGAGTACAAATATGTATCAAAGGTTGATATAAAAGTTGGTTATTCCCAATTTTTGATAATGTTATTATAATAATTAATATAATTTATTTTGTGATATGGCACATATGGTCATTTTTTTCAAGCAACTTTAAAGTATTGACATTTCTGTCACTCCTACTGCAATTGACAGGGAAGGCTATAGAATAACGCACACTAACTTAGTTCACGCTGAGGCGTGTTGCTAGATGGATCTATGTTGCTTTGTGCAGCGTTCTGACGTACCGAGATCGCTAAAATTGTAAAAAAAAGAACATTTAAAATAAGTATTTTAATTTCGCTCTCATTTTGACAATATCTTTGGTGTAATGAACTAGGGTAGAGACCCGAGTGTCTCGAAGTTGTAGGTTCTAATCCCACTAGAGCTCGCATTTTTTCAAGTCGTTTTTTTATTATTTTATTCTAATTTTCATTTTTTTCTGCCATAATTTTAAAAAGCAACTTTTTTTTATTATTATTATTAAACAGTATAAAATGTGAAAATAAATATTTCTTTAGTATGACGTAGGCGAAAGTCAGACTGACATTTTCATACAAAAGCCCGATATTGATGAAATAGTTCCAATAAAATACATGTTCGTGTTCCAATCCCATCAAAGAAGCATTTTTTTTTTACTTTTATCTTCTTTTTCCTAATATATTTTCCTCTCATTTTTTTATAGGTATATGTTAATCATTAATAATTCGTTAAAATAATTTTGAATATTATTTTATACAGTAATTAAGTATTATTTAATTATCTAGTCTAGTTGATAAATTTAATTGCTGTAAAAATATATAACATAAAATTTGACAATAGGTAAATATTTCCATAAAAGTATGTCTTTGCAAAAGTTTGACATTTTCATGCAAAAACCATCCCGTAGACCGTTACTATAGTAAAAATTAATTCCTAATCAATCACATTGTGTAAATAAAATAGTTCAATAAATAGGTATTACTTTATAAAACAGATATAAAAAAGGGAATTAGTTACTATTGAATGAATTTGAAAATTATGGTAACAATGTACTAAATTATAATGTACAGGTTTTTCACAAACTTTACTAGTGTTTAGTTGTGGCGCAATATCCTATGTGCTGGTCACTAGGTACTCATTGTGCCGCAGATCGAAACCAAGTTTCATGTTTTTTTTTTGTATCTTAATATTTTTACCCAATATTTTTATTATGAGAAATATAATACTAAAAATTATTTATGTGTTTATACTAAAATATAAATTATTATATTTAATAATTGTATAGATATTATTTTTGACATTTTCATGGAAAAACGACTGGATAAATTTCGCGGTAATTTGATACAAAAATACCTCTAGATATCCTTTATTGGTTTGCAAACTATTGCAGTACGCAACAGGCGTAGCCATACAATTATTGATAATGAAATACGATTTTTTTTAAGATTCTTCTGTAAGGTAAATGTACAGTGTTCCGGACTAGTACACAATTTTAAACGATACTCAATAGACTATAGTTGTATTGCAACCAAAATAATACAATTTTAAGCATACTTGGTAATTTTGATAGTGGATTGGGTAGTTTCGATAGTGGAACGTAAAGCACCTTTGCAGAATCATTGAAATTTGCTTTGAAATAAAGAAAGAAAGAAAGGTTATTGACCACACCTACATGAACACAATGATAATATATAAGAGAAGAAGAAAAAAAAAACATAAATACAAATATATATAAAAAAAAAATCATATCTAGGCTGATTTTGAGTAATAAAATCGCATAATTATCTTAACATATCAAAATTAAAGGTCCAGTCTTTTTGTTTATTCATCATGTGACTTAAAAATATAACCCACTATTACGTGACGACACTTAGTTTGAATATTTTCTAAATCTGACATCTGTCAGTAGTTGTAAATAAATAAACAGCAGCTGATTTGACAGAAAAAGCAGATTCCGAGGTAATACTGTTCTTTCCTTATTTAATATTATTATTTTGTCGAGATCGTTAGATAACACCGTTTTCGTTTGAATAACATCATATTTTTTTTTTTATATAGGATCAAACAGTTATGCAAATTAATATGAACATAAAATTGAAACATTAATAAACACATAGTTCCCTACATTCCATTTGTTAAATTGCTCGATTGTTAAAAATATTTTAATCTGTTTGTACATTACTATTATTTTATTATTATTATTGATATTTCAATCTGTACATAACCGAATGACGTCATAAATATGGCAGACGGTGTTTTTATGAGTGTAAAAAAACGAATTATGATTTAATTTTAAGAAAAGAAAACGTTTTTGATTTTTGGAATATTTCTGCTGTCGTTTATAAAGTAACAAGTAAGTACTTTTGCAATCAGAGTATAACACCCTATTATAAAAACCGTGGCAAGTTTTCGAACGTGACTGATACGATCGCACTGCTGTTTCGTAAGATGTCGTTCTTTGACTTTCTTAAGATACTGGTAAATTGACTGAAATAAAATTGCCAAGTCATTTCAGTCATTAATTGTTATCAACAGATGGTTTTATAATTAGAGAACTTATTTTTTTTTAAATCTACTTACGGCATCACGGACGCAAACCTTTGGCGTATGGTTACCGTAATAATTGAAAATCGCTCCAAAATGTTACTAAATTTTATTCCTGACTGAGGTTGGCATTAAAGAATTAGATGTGAATAATTCGGTAATCAGCATTGATTATTGTGACGTAAGTATGGTAAACGATTTACCGTAAATTTTACAATTCAGTTCAACTCTAAGCACGGAGTTGAGGACAAGCTCGACATTCAAAGAAACGGGTGATTCTCTAGAATATCTAATCAGGACTCTGGGTCTGGACAATCCCATTCTGAAAAGGGCAGGTTAGTGTAACTGGCCTATATGATAAAACCAGGTACGGTTCACCTCACACGGATGCATTAGCCCAGTATCGGCATGAATATTGGAATCTAAGAACAAATTGTTGATGCCTGGGAGAACTCGCACAACAGGATATGTCATATAGGTGTTTTCTGTGATGTATTTAAAGCTGTCAATTTTGTTGTTCATGAAATATATGTATAACGAATCTTATGAATATTATGAATTTAGAGATAACTAGTTAGATTTTGCTTTCTCTTAGTCGAGTGGCTTAGCAGGAGGTTGTCGGTGACAAGAAATCCCCTGAATCGATAGATCGACACCTATCATGGGTGTTCCACAGTGCTCAATGCTTGGTCGCTTCTTTTTTAATTTATATAGACAAATTGCCTCCTTTGGTAAAGAATAATAACGAAATAGATTTGTTTACAGTGACAATTCTGTGAAGTATAACTTCACTCTTATTTAAAATTATAAGAGAACGACCACTTAATGACGGTGTGAACAGTTCTATTCTCAAAGTAGAATATTGGTTTAATATCTTATGTGTTATTCACGTTGAATTTTAAGCCTTTCATCACTCATAATCTTGCTCCATGACTATCGCTTAATTTGCAGATTGAATGGATTCTATGTAAGCACTATGGTAGGTATCATCTGTATAAAGAAAGCAGCTTTAAACTGGCGATCCCAACGAAATTCATAAATTTTATTCTATAGAGGCAACTATTCAAATAATGTGTTGCTCAATTAATATCTTGAACAACCTCAAATAAGATGAAAGGTTGGGTTATAGTAAGTTTTTGTTATTATTTCATTTGGTCGTATAACTTTTTATCGAGGTTATGTTTGACCAAAATACTTGTAAAGATTCATTACACCGTTATATTATTTGCCACTAGCTGGTGCTCGAATCTTCGTTCGTGTTGTCTCATACCAAAGATTTTGTAAGCTTAAATTGTATGTTGTGGATTGAGTAGGTTATAACTTAATGAACCTGTAAAGGTAGAATTCTTTTTGTACCAAAATTCTACAGTCTGCTGACGGTGCCAACGGTATATATGATTAACAACAATATTTAAGATAAACTTTATTGGTGTTGTTTTTTTTATTCGGGTGCCAAAATATGAAGCCCAGAGACTTTGCTAACCCTTAAAACAACAAGGCAAAGTTGGGCATTAGAAAAACAGGTAATTTTCAGTTCCACACCAGCAGCTTTTATTCTCTCAACAGCATATCGAAGTCGATCAGAATTCCGTGATTCACTGCGCTGTTTTTATACCTTTGCGTACTTCAGAAATTGTTTCTATCTCATTTTCTGGTAGATCTAAAGATTTTGGGCAATGTATGATGATGGTCAGTTTTTCACTGGCTTAACTGGATTCTAGAGACCGAAGATTCTATCCGTTTTTATTCTTAGAAAATTTGATCATGTGTTCCTATATCGTTAAAATTCAAAATCGACGTCCATCCGGAAGCGAAGAAGTATGCGTGCTTTAACTACGTTATCCTCTCTGCTGAAATCTCCAAACACTCTTTCTTATCTTAACAGTACTTATGTACCTTTCACGCCAAAACTCTTTGTTCCTCCTCTAATCGTCTACTCTGCCCATCTCATTTCTCCGAAATCGTTCACTCTTCGTTTTTCGTCAAATCTATTCCTTTGTGGGATGAATTTCCATTCTACAAGAATTATCAATAAATAATAAATTAGCTTCTAAAAACAAGCTATTCTATAGCAAATGTTTCATTGTTTGGAACAAGCAAATTCATTAAATCATTGATTACTTTATGATTTATGTATTTTTATAATTAAATTAGGATAATGATGTTGCCGTCTTATTATGTACAAAGTTAATTTTAATATATTTAAAACTAAATCCAAATTATCTAATCAGAGCTTTTTGACACATTGCATTGTCTGTTTCTAGAGTAGACGAAAAAACGGACAATAAACCTTAGTATTTTGTGCAAAAAATGTCAATAAATATTGACATTTTTTGCACAAATACACATTGGCGTAAAAAACTATTTATTGTTAAGAAGTCATTTTTATCCGATGTTATAGTATACTAGTATCTTCGAGGACCACATTATATGTTCTGGATCTTTGACTTTTGTACTCTTAGCAGAATGTATTTATTAACTGTATGTTAGTATAACGAAATATAAACAAACTACTTTCAGAATGTGCGTTAATTATGTTACACGTTGTATATAGATATACAGCGGATGTAAAGTATTTAATAGCATTTAGTTCCCTGTCTGCTAATGAAATTTCACTACATACTTATATGTTTACTCATAAACTGGAAAGTAAAATTATATCTCTGCTTAGATAATAAAGGGCTTAATAGGGATTCGATGGACAGTTCAATGTTGTGATACATCTATACGTCATATTTTTGGCGCAAGAATATATTTTTTTATAAATCGAAGACAATTTTCTTTTAAAATAAAATACATTTTCCATGACAAAAACAATCTAAGTCAATGATAAGTTTATCTGTATAAACTTTAGTGAATTTTCATTTAATAATTGCAGTATTATGATTGTTTCGGAGTTCATCAAAAGAGTGTTTTGGGTGACTTTGCCTTCCCTACAAGCTCTTTATCCTTAATGTACTATTTAAAATATGGATAGACTTTTAAGATATTGTTTTAGAATCAGTTCACTTTCCAGTATCAAATAAAAAATGTCTGACGGCAACTTTGAAATCATCTATATTTATGGGATCAATAAAATGATTGTGTTTTAATGGTTTTATCCTAACCGGTCAACCAGTCCTATACTTTGATGATGCGTCAGTATTACAAAATATCATTCCACCTCCATAAAAGGATCATGGCTAGAGGAAAAAATAACTTTTCCTCAAGTTATGAAAACAGGATATGTTTTATTAACTCCAGTCCAAAGATCAGGTAGAGTCCAATTCTTAAAGCATTAATTATTTTTAAATGGGCCATGAAATGTTCGACAGCAAGACAATGGTAGAAACAGGCGCGTCTACCCTATATTCTCATAAAAACGATTCTAAAATTGCTTTTTTTCTCCTCCTCCGGCAAGTTCGATATGGATATGTGTACTAACTACAATGACTTCCAATTAATATTGCATATGGTGAATATTCGTTTACGTAAAGCCGACCTACCAAAAATTCGTACAATTAAAATGTATAATGACTCTTCTTGTAATGAGAATAAGGTGTGAAAGTCCATCTCAGTCAAACTCGGCGGGGATTAGGTGCCATGACGTGATATTTGGTTTATTCTGATTGGCCGACATTATCAGGTACACACAGCAGCAAGTCAGGTTACTACAGTCTATCAAATTATCGCAATTATTTTAACTCTACCTTCACTACATTAAGGTTTAAAATCGAGTGAAGAAATGTGATGTGATGTGTGGTATCATAAGTGATTTTATATAGTTATTTCATATTTCTTTAAATTTTAAATCTTTTCATTATTCAATGCAAAGCATTTTTTAAAATATCAATGAATTAGAATAAAATTCTGAAATATGAAACAGACAAAATAATAGCATGTTATTTTGTCGACCCAAAAAGAAAAAACATACTTGTTCTTTCTAAGCCCCATAAAAATCTGGAGTAAAAAGAAATTATTCCTTTCTTTTAAAAAAATTCAGCGCCACCTATTGTGTAAGCACTTTAGACAGCTAACTTAAAGCACTTGATGGTTATAAAACGTCATTGTAATTAGTACAAAGTTTATCTGCTGGCGCTTAACCGATAGGCATTTGTTATTCTTCTGAGGAACGTGCAATGAGCTAACCCACACTAGCGTAGACACCTGTAATTATGTAAGGGGGCGTGTCGAATTCTAAAAATCATTCGGTGTCCTCTACAAAGATGCAAATTCAATTTCTATTAACATTTGAATATATAAGGAAACATCTTCCATTGTTATGAAAAATGATTTTAATCATATCCATATTCCAATTAACGCAATAATAGTTATCGAACATAGATAATATATGAAACAAAGTTCGCCTACATACTTCATTCGACTGAAAAAGCTTATAAAAGGGAAATTGTGAGATCATTGTTAATGTTTCCATAGTACCAGAAAACCGAATCAATATGACATTAAATTGGATATTTGAATAATATGAATTATAAAGATTCAAAAGTTCATTCAGGAACTTATTAAAATGACGTGAATATAACATATTAACATAATAAACCGCTAAATTGACTTCTAAAAACTTTAAAAGCTTAATAAGATTTGTGATCAAATTGTGAGACATAATATGTGACAAATCGTTTCATAAAAATTAATATCCATTGGTAACTGAAACTTCTGATTTATTCAATGTTATGGTTTTTATTCGAAAGCTGTAATACTGACTGTGGAATCTCTAAGCAGCTTTATCTAAGCAATTATTTGGTTATACAGTATCTCAGTGGTAGGGCCACGAATACTGCGACCTTTTGGGCCATACAGTGTGGCCATAGCTGGTGGTTCGCGGGCGTACACTCTGTATGTGGCGGTCGAGGGCCGTCGTAGCAACGGCGAGCAATTCACGCAGGGGCGGCAAGTGCAAATACCACCGGCGACATCTCGGCAAGTCGATTTCGATGTAAGTACTATAATCCATTAAAATATTCAAGAACAAAAAGAAATCTTAATTTATACGATGAGAAAATAATAAAAGGATAAAAATATTAGAATAATTATTCTTTTCTTTTTGTAGTTAAGACAATATTGATATTGATCGGTCTTCGCCAAACTGCAACTACCCTAACTGTATTACAAATCCTCTTAAGACATGGTATATTTATCAAATACAGATCGATGACCCCGGCCCTGGAGAGTATTCTTTGGTAGCCCGCTCCACTTCTGGACCTCTGTTTTCATCCGCTGCACCGCTTGTATATCAGCCACGCAGCTTTTGTGTCTTCGTGCAAACAGACAAGAGGGTCTACCAACCAGGAGATACTATTAACTTCGCAGTCATAGCATTGGACAAGTAAGTCGTATTGTAATTACCACAGAACATTGAAAATACTTACATACAATAACACATTAGATTACTAATTGTTTTCGCGACTTCACCCCCGTAAATTATAGCATATGTCACCCGTGTATGATGTAGCTTCCCGTAGGAAAGAATTTTCTTGATTGAACCAGTATTTTTAAAGATTATCCCTTGCAAACACAGTTCTTTCCCCTATAAACAATGTTAGAATCTTTAGTTCTTTACAATATTAGCATAGAAGACAAACCAACAACAGAAGGTAATAAACACATCAAAATTGAATAACAAAAATTGACTATTTTAGTTAACAATATGTTTAGAATTACAAAAACAGGGATGTTATTCCCCAAAACACTACTGGGTAGCATATTGTAGATACCACGGCAAACCAATGTCCTAAATACAGTCTTGAAATAAATTCATCAAGACCACGGTCCATTAGTCCATGTCGAAGACACTTTCGTTTTCTACATCATACTGGTCTCAGGTTGCTTCGCGTGAGAGCGCGATTACGTGTGATTTTGATGGAGGTCATTGACACTAGTTTTATAGCAAACCTGCTGGTGCTGTAAGACTGTCGGTAGTGTTACTGTCACCTTGAAAAATAGCTACAATATCAACACGGTTATCTATCTATAAACTTTTACTATGAGTAAATAGTTAAAGTCAAATAATATGCATAAAGAATTCAACTGCTCATCTGGATTCAAAAGTCAATGCATCAACCAATTCTAAACTTAACTGTAAAGGGTTTAGCCGGATACGTATGACGAGTCGGCCCCCAAATGGGAATCGATATTGAAACTTATGTTTTAATATAGACTTGATGTTCAAACACGATTTATGTACTTTTCGCGACCGACTTCCGCTTTGACCTTGAGATAGAGAGCAAAATATCCGTATGCTTGACTATTACTGAATGTGATATATCTCTGAAGCTAATTAAGATAAAGAAGTGAAACTAACGCGAGGTGTTAGGTTACATTACAGAGTATATCACATATATTTTTTTATAATTTTTAGAATAAAAAATTACATTAAAAAAATAAAAATAAAAAAAAATCATGTTTTTTTTCTGAGTTCTCTGTGACTTACAATCACGAAATTAATATATGTTATGCTCCTTTGTGTGCTCTATTACCCATAAAAATTGCGTGAAAAAAAAGTTGGTGCAACACAACGAAAAAAAATTATATGTGATTTCTGTCTTATGGTATACCCCTGTATTATAAGGTTTTCACATTACATCATCATAAAGTTGGTGCAACACAACGAAAAAAAATTATATGTGATTCGCGCCTTGTAGTGTGAGTGTATAAACAAACAAGTTCGAACTTGTTATCGAGCTGTTTACTGCATCGTTTGTTTAGCTAAAGTAGCAGTCATTTGTATTACACAAGAAGGCAGTTTGGGACTCAAATTCTGTCATAGGTATTTTGTATCAGCATTTTGAAATTATTAACTATTGAACCAAATCATTATTAAGGAATAATGTCGAGAAAGTGTAAAAATTGTAACAAGTACCTGTGTAACATTCCTGGTTATAAAAAAATTATAAAGAAAGAAGAAGAAGCTAAAGTGTTTAGTGACTGCTTGAATAAAATCGTAATAGTTAATGATATTTTTTGTAAGAAGTGTCGACTTATCCCATATATTAATAAAAAAGCTTCTACTTCTAAATGTGCAGCATTTAACTTGGCCGAAATAATGGACGATCAAAATAATCTCTCAGTACAATATGTGAAATCAGCACCTAATATCATCAAAGCAGAAGTAAAATCAAGACATATAAATAGAAAAGTCTATCGAATTTACATTCACTATATTTCCGAAGGTAATGACTACAATAGTATTCTTCGTTATTGCTGTGATTGCCCCAATGGCAAACGTACAGTGGGATGCTGTTCTCATGTAGCAGCTATTATTTATTATCTATCATATGGACGATATTTGTCCAAAATCGTACGTCCTGATGAGGTCCTAACTAAGTTATTTGCGACTCAAAGTGTTCCGATTGTAATTAATTACAACAGTGACGATGATTAATATTTTGTTTCTTGTATTTTGATAGACACGAAAAAGTAATAATAATAAGTATTGAACACTGGCTGTTTTTTTTTTCATTTCTTTTTTAACTATTATCCCATCTCTTAAGACTAGTTACTTATGTTTTAAAACAAGCTGATGTGAAATTTCGAAAAAAAAACAATGATGTAATGTGAAAACCTTATAATACAGGGGTATACCATAAGACAGAAATCACATATAATTTTTTTTCGTTGTGTTGCACCAACTTTTTTTTCACGCAATTTTTATGGGTAATAGAGCACACAAAGGAGCATAACATATATTAATTTCGTGATTGTAAGTCACAGAGAACTCAGAAAAAAAACATGATTTTTTTTTATTTTTATTTTTTTAATGTAATTTTTTATTCTAAAAATTATAAAAAAATATATGTGATATACTCTGTAATGTAACCTAACACCTCGCGTTAGTTTCACTTCTTTATCTTAATTAGCTTCAGAGATATATCACATTCAGTAATAGTCAAGCATACGGATATTTTGCTCTCTATCTCAAGGTCAAAGCGGAAGTCGGTCGCGAAAAGTACATAAATCGTGTTTGAACATCAAGTCTATATTAAAACATAAGTTTCAATATCGATTCCCATTTGGGGGCCGACTCGTCATACGTATCCGGCTAAACCCTTTTAGAAATAAATTTCGAATAACCCGGATCACTTCCAGAAAAGCCATACAAGTTCTAGTTTGTGTTTAGATGGAATTTTCATATTGAGAAAGTTGTAAATAAAAACTTCACACACTAATTACTTTCTAATAAAAAATGCAATTAAAAGTCAATTTTTCTTTGTATTAACTGATTGTTATCTTAAATTTTCCCACAGAGGAAAATTGTTTAAGTAACTTCACTTAAAAGTGAAAATGGAATGTAGATTAAATAAGACTACAGCTAATGTCAGCTAGACACTTTTATGAAAAATGTTTATACTCTAATTATTCGATTAATATCTGAAAATTTCAAATTGATGAAATAACAAAGACGTTTACACTAAATTAACATAAAATATAGGGCGGACGATTCCATAAAACACCTTTTCATATACAAAACAAAATTTTACTGATTTTCAAAAAATTTAATTAAAAGATAAACAAAAGGACCCTTCGCTTTGTACTAGTAAGTAAGTAGTAAGGTAGTCTGCAATATTAGCGTAAAAGTTTGTCATAAAAAGTATATAAAGTCGTTATTATTAAAAAATACGTTATGTAAAAATATCTACTAGTTTTCTAAATACGAATAGATACACACGTATTTATAGTCGAGTAGAAGTAATTACATAAGCACATATTTTTATCCAGTTGACAAGAATTTAAATGAAGTACAAACTTTAAATAGTTAGAATGCTATTATTATTATTAGCTATTAACAGTTATTATTTCATTCAAATTCTCGTCTATTGACCAAATTTTCTCAAGTAATTACTTCTCTAAGATAAGCGTTAAACTCTAACTCATAAAAACTCTCACGCCATCGAGTCCGTCTAGACAAAAGATACGGAAGCTGAATTTTTGTAACAAATATTTTCATTGCCATAGATACTTGCTACCTCTAAATGCTCCAGTGGACGTAAGCCTCCTAGACGCCGGTGGCGCACCTGTGTGGCAAAAGCTTGCAGTTTCTTTGGATAAGGGCATCTTCACTGATCAGTTCACATTAGCTGACGAGCCGGCATTAGGAGAATGGACTATACAGGTAAACAATTAGGTTATGAAATACAACAACTTATAAATTCCGTTCTCCAATGCAAAAAAAAGAATTAGGTACAATGTATATGTACACGTATATGTTTACTTATGACGTATTCTCATTATCATTAGCCCTTTATTTCTTCCCCAATGCAACGGTTCAGGCCTTCTATATATAATCCTTAACCATTCATAAGCAATATATCAGTCATTGAACCTGAGTAGAAATACACTTTTACCCGATAGTTATCAGTTTTATCACTTAAAGAAGCGACTTGGGTCAACAACGAGTCGGAATGGTGAAGGCGCTTTATGTAACAACAAGCAACATTAACCTGCTTTACTATCTCCGCATCTAGTTTATACTTACGAGTATTTTACTTCAAGTCAGACGGTCAGCCGAGTACAGTGTAATTGCCATTGACACGGTAGTAGTATTCTGTTTTAGGAAATACAGGACACCGCATGCCTTTAATTGAATTCCAATTATTCTGTGAATAATATATAGTAATTTAGCTATTTCTCAATATATATTATATTATAATTTCTAAAGCTTATCATATTTCTACTTTCTTCATATTTATAGAGATATTAGAAGAATTTGCATTTAATTGTTTCTTAGCTCTACATTCGTTACGCTCTATGTACACTGTACGTATATACTCCACTGGTTCGATAACTAGGCGTTATCGACCTCCATCTGTTATTTTTCGGGCCTCAATCTTTTTGAAGCTATACCGTTCTATTGTTTGTATGACTCGCAAAAAAAAATTTATTAACGATTATCATGAATGAGATTTTCATTAAGTTTGCCAAACTTATTTAAAGGCCTGCCAACATAATCTATAAATGACTCGCGTTAACGACAGCTTTCTTACTAGTCATAACATTAAACACTTGTCAATCAGAAAGATAAATGAATAATATTACACAACATAAAATTACTCAAGATTCCAATACTAATAGCCTTCTAAACTCTCCAAAGACAATGTTAATCTGACATTTCATCTCCTTCTGTTTTATGTTTATGTATGTATGTATGTGTATATATGTATGATATTTATTTATGTATTTTGATTTGTATGTAATTGTATCAGTGTAGAGATTTTTATTTAGTAACATCATAAACTTTAAAATTATACATAATATTGTCAACAGGTTGAAGCACGCGAGCAAATTTACTCGCGACATATCCTAGTAGCAGACTACGTGATGCCTAAGTTCCAGTTGGATGTCGATTTGCCGAAACAAGCACTGTTCAGTGATGGCCGTTTCACCGTCAATATTACTGCAAAGTAAACAATGTTTTTCTTTACACGTGCCGATAGAAATATTTCGACCTTCGATTCTCACCACTGCTGTGTTTTTACAACAATAATGTCTTGTGATTAATGAGAATTCCTTGGAAAATTCATCATTCCAATCGAATGAAAATATCAAAAGTAATTGGATACAACGTAAAAAACAAAGTCATTGAATTACATACACCGCCTTGATGTTTATTCGTCTTGAAACATCAAGCGATTGGATTTCTTGGTAAAATATATTATTATGATATATTGAGAGAAAATCGAGTTGTGCTAACTATATTTAGACTTAAATTCCATTAGCTTTCTTGTTGAAATATTTCATCGCGAAACACTTATTAAACAAAACAAAAAGTTGCATAATATTATTCGTTTAAATATTAATATGTAAGCTGATGTATGCACTATAATCTTTGGAAAAACAGTGGTGGAAAATCGTTTTCTGTTAAAAGCCTTGAAAAAAATATTTTTTGATTATTAATATTTATTGTAGGCATTTCAACGGTCTACCAGTAAACGGTGAATTAACCGTATCAGCATATGCAGTGTTCTTCTCCCAACTTCTACAACCGGTGTTCTCACCACCGGCTCGCAAAGTCTTCAGCTTCAATGGCAATGCAGAAGTTGTATATGATTTCAAGACGGACCTTGATCTCGCTGTTGATGCCGCGAGGCCAGTAGTTGTTGAAGCGGTGTTAGAGGAAAAAGATACGCTGATAAAACAAAATGTCACATCTAGGATTTTGCTCTTGAGAACGCCATATAGACTAAAAGTCACCGCTCCAGATTATGTCAAGCCAATGCTACCATATAATGTACAGGCAAGTTCACAACACTTTACGTTATAGTTTGATGAGTAATCAATAATCGATGAGAATAGGTCATTTAATACGATTTAAAAAGCATGCTATGTGACAGTAGATTTAGTTTAATAAACTTATTTTGTTTTAGATAGAAGTAGTTGATCCTACAGGACAAATCATGGATATCAACGAAGATGTAACAGTAGAGCGGCTTTGGGATGACGGTGCACCTGTTAATGTGACTACAGTCAAGTTGAAACACGGCATCGCCAAATACAGTTTAGTACCAGATGCGGCACATATAAATTCCACTCTTAATTTAGTGGTAAGTTAAATTACATCATTTTGCCTTAATAAAAATACCGTTTAATGAAACTCTTGTAATATTTTTAACGATAATGTAACAGATAAATTATAAAGAAGTGACGGAACGGGTGGTGAACGTACAAAGGAACAGCGATTCTGGAGGACAGTTCTTAACAGTGGAACTTTTAACGCAAGACACTTCAGAGGGAGACGAGATGCGTGCACGGATCACGGCATCTGAACCTATGGATCTAGTGCACTATGTAGTAATAGCACGAGGTGACATCATTATTGCGAAAACACTTGAGGTGAGTTTTTGCAACTGTTTGCAAATCTCATTATAAAGAAAACTAATGTTATCAAGTTTAAAACACATTAATTGAAACATGTAGGCGTCTTTTACATTAGGGAATTTTTAAAGTTAGGATAAATTTTATAATCATTCAATCCTTATGAAAAAAGTAATGCTTACTATAATTTTGCTTTTCCAAATAATTGATGTGAAAAGAAGTTATTGCTGTGCATTTAGTAAAGCTTCACTGTTGTTTTATAAATCTGTGGTAGTAAGAAGTTCAGGATAAAAAAAAGGAAAAATATAACTAAATATTATAACCCGATACATCAAAGATTTTTGGAAACCGATGTGAGTGCTTTTCGAGCTTCAAAAAGAGAAGTGTTTATTAGGTTCAATAGTGCGAAAAAAATCTTTAAATGTTACTAACACCCGTTTTCACTTACCCAAAACAAAACGCCTAATCTTACGAATCACCTAAGCTTATAAGTTTAATTCCAAATAAATATTTTATCTTTTATCTCTTGACACACTTGCGATCTGTAATTTTACAAAAATGTCTAGCGCAAGGCACCGCATAACGTATATTATAACTTTAGACATTGCTTAATGTCGTTAGGTGTTCCCTAATCATTGGTGAAATTAATGTTCACCTTATGCGATTCCTAAACAGAGGCGTAGCTACCGCCATACATGCCGTATCAATTATACGGGGCCCCCAACGTGCGTAAGAAAAAATTAATAAAAACTTCCCAAATTTATTTTTATTTCAGAAATGACAAAAGTCAAAAAAGCCATTTCTTTTTCCCACGTAGGGCGTGCGTTTCATAGTTGGCAACACCCTACAACCGATTTCGTGGGCTGCGGGTTATCTTCGTTTAAGTCAGACTTTAACGGGGGAATCCCATAATAATCGATGTATATATGATTAAAATTCCTACAGTTTATACAATTTTATTTTTCATATGTGAAAAATCTTTACTCTACAAAAGGGCCCTCAAACAAATTTTATACGGGGCCCCGCTAAGAAACGCTACGCCATTTTTCCTAAATATTTAATGCGATAGATTTGTGCGACTCTAACGTTTAGTGAAAACGGGTATTAGTCAGGTTTCGCCTTGAATCAATGTTTTTTTATTATTCTTATTATGAACTATAGTTGAATCCGGCCCGTCGTAGCGTGGACGTATCGGCAGAGGTGACGCGGCACATGAGTCCTGGCTGCGTGTTACTAGCATGGTATCCACGAGTTGACTCTACCAATACCATGCTTGCATCCGCTGTATATGTACCACAGCGAAATCTTCTTAAACATAAGGTATATAAAATTAAATCAATACTTGTTTTGGAAGTCTACATGACGTGGTAAAAAATCTGATTATCATTTTTGATGTTTTGACTATTATTGGGGTTATTGATTAGTGTCTTGTTCTAGAAATAAATTTCAGTATCACCGTCGAGAATTAATATAATAATGTCAACACCAAAAGTATAAGATTCGTCACAATCCCATCCATCCACATAAAGGATGGATTTTAGAACAGACCACAGTTCATAGCCTGGCCTCCAGCCAAGTTACCTCACAACCACCCATCATACAAGTCTAAGCAAAGAGTGGATTACAATTTTGTATGGGTATATCAACATTATTGTTTCCACAATCATCACGTTACTTCAAAATAGGAACTCCACTGCCTCCGTTAACTTTCTCTACCTAATGTAATATCCAGATAGCATGGAATTTAAAGATGCAGTAAAGTTTTTGAATTTAGAACTTAAAAACGACTATTCACTATTTCACAGGTTTCCGTGAAAGCGGTATCAGCGTCTAACTTCCAGCCCAACACGTTGACTGAACTTCAAGTATCGGGAGCAGCGGGATCACGTGTTGTAGTGCTGGGAGCTGATACAGATGCTGTTACCGCTGGACTCGCCAACAATAACGGCTTGGGCAGCGGCCTCAACGACCATACGGTCAGCATAAACTATTATAATATTATACTTAGTATTCAGGATTAGATTACGTGTATGATTTAGATTTTGTTAGTTTAATGAGGAAATATTAAAAAAATATATTAGTTCCCGAAATCATAATAGATGTCGCTACGGTACGTCCTTGATTCCTCTATGACAACATTTCCGGTTTTTTCAAGTTTAAAAGTAAATTAGTTTTCAAAACTCAATCAACAACTCATATTCTATTTGTACTTTTTCGTATTTGTATTGATATCTAAGTTTCGAACTTTTCAAATTTCAGTTCTTTAATATGTTAGTTAAAAGGAATGGAAATGGCTGTCTTTAGTCCATTCGTTTCCTGCAAAAACCAACTTTTGCTAGAGCCGCCATCTAGTGGAGCCGCTTTTTAGTGCTCTCATTTTTTTAATACTTCCTCATTGAGTTCAACAATAGAATTGATACAATTTCTAACGTCTTCATCTTAAGACCTAGACCATCTTAAGAAGTGAATTACGTAAAAGCTTTTTCAGTGCAATTATGTACTGCCATATCGTTTGCGTGAATTTCGAAAGTCAGTTTTCATCTTTTTATTCTTACAGGTCCAACGTGAAGTAGAAAGCTTCGCAGGTCTAAAGCATTCGGTGTTCAAGAACGAGGAACATCTTCCTGGCCTTGGACTAGACTTGGGTGGTTATACGTCTAGAGATGTTTTCCGTGTACGTTTGATTAGTTGACTCTAAATCATATTCAAATAAATGATATTTTGTAACTAAAATTATAAAATTAATAACTAGTGAAAACATCACATGCAATTCCAAGATGACTAGCTAAAGCACATATATTAGGAGTATCTGACACAACCAAGGTACCATAACATACAAATCAGAGACATAAAAAGAACATTCACATTCTACATTGACGCGACCGGTAATCTGATCCAGTATATACTCGTACAATAACATTTGTTTTTTTTTTCAGAATGCCGGTATGGTAGTTTTAACTGACGGAGTGATTATCCAAAACGGAGGTAATTGATTTTAACTCAGTCAATACTAATGTTATAGGACGCTTTGTTGTATGAACTGTAATTAAAAAAGCAAAATCGATTTTCAGTGGATCCAAAGCAAGAAGCCCCTGAGTCTGGCACTCGTCCACCTCTGGCTGGACCGTACGCGTTCAGTAGATTACCCCCGCCTCCATCACCTCGATACTACCTCACAATAACACCTCTTCCTACGTGGGCTTTCGGCAACTTCTCTCTCGAGTAAGTGTAAATAAAGACTGAAAATTTCAATAAAGCGTTAGCGTAAAGTGAACTAAGAATCGTTTGTTGAATAGTCTTGTGCTAGTAATAGATAAATTATACGTTCTAATAAGTAAAATGTGCCTTGTCATTATTTTTTTTGCATTTTTTTAAATAGAAATTACTGGTACCAAAACGAGTTCAGATTATGGGATTCTCAATTTTGAAAATATTCATTTATTATTATTCATCTCGGGAGTAGCTCGGTGGCGTAGTGGATAAACGCCGCGGCCCGCGATCATAGTCGTTAAGCAACTTTCGCAAGGGTCGGTCACGGGATGGGTGACCAAAAAATTATTATCTCGAGATACTCCGTGCTTCGGAAGGCACGTTAAGCCGTTGGTCCCGGCTCCAATCCGCATTGGGCCACCGTGGACGGGTCATGGCCCATCCTCCTTAACCATCCATAAGGAAGGACTGAGCCCCTGCAGTGGGGACGTGAAAGGGGTGGTGGTGATGATGATGATGATTATGCATCTAGTTAACAAAAAACTATTCATTTTCATTTTCGAACATGGCATTTCCACTTAATTTTAAATTTCACATGAGTTATATTACCTTTTTAAAAAAAGTCCGATTATTAAAATTAACTTACTATTTTATTTTTTCAGCAATGAAGGAAAAGGATCAATCGGGCGCTTCACACCTCCTCCTCAAGTGCCCGTTAATATGAAAATAGGAGCATTTGCAGTAGATTCCCAACTAGGTCTGGGTATCGCTTCACCACAGACTTTCGCCAACTCAGTACCTTTGTCTATCAGCTGTGAACTGCCTGCTACTATGCAACGAGGTGAAACTGTAGCCGCCGTTGTAGTACTGAAGAGTACTCTCACTGTCGACATATCGCTTGAAGTAACTATGTACAACACCGCTCAGTTCTTCGAATTCGAACCTTTGGACAACGATATCAACGCAACGAAAAGTAAGTTTCTGTTCTACTATTCCACCTATTAGGTCAACCAATTTATTTTTTTCCTGGTTGCTTTTCACTTTTAATATCTAGGATGAACATAAATCAAGATCAATAAAATCACCATACAGCTTTAGCTTTTTGAAATCAACTCTTTATAGTGTTGCAAAAATTAAAAAATCTCTGATGTAGTTGCCAGAGCAGCGACAAACTACGTTTAAGTGTTATTATAATGAAAATACCATTTTTATTATAATTATTGAAATCATGTTTGATTTCCTAAGGGTCAGCAAACCAGACAAACTTAGGAAGTGCTTCAATTACATGTCTTATCCAGACTTTTCCCGTTTTGACTTGTACATATATTTAAACGTCAGGTGTTGTGTTATAGATGCATATATTAAGAATACGGATGTAGACAGTAAACGAAAATAAATAGATTTTTTTTTCTGGTAGTATTTAATATACTATTACCGATAGTCACACTTTTATGCTTATCATATTTATAATAATTCTTTACAACATAGAACGATATTAATTTCAGAGGACACCACCATGACAGAAGTGGCGTTTGCGCGGGATTTTGAAAATCAAATTGATTTTTAGATTTGAATTTATTATAAGAATAATACTTTTTTTAAATATTTTTTTAAACATAATTTATTTATATCTATAAAATAAAAAATATAAAAAGTTGTAATATGGACCCTATAGACAACCTTTCATTATCTTAGTTGTTAAGTATCCCTTTTCCACAAATGTGTAGGTTTAATTATTTTTCATATATGACCAATTTCTTTTATAATAAAGCTACACTAGATATGATAGTTTTTGTCCTGTATTGTCTGGTAACTCGGAAGCTTAATGTTGTCTTACCAATTACAGAAATCGAAACATTCAATAGACTACGAGTATCAGTACCGGCAGAGGGCTCTGCCAGTACTGCATTTTTAATAACAATGGTGCAGACGGGACGAGCTGAAGTGCTTATAGATGCAAAGGGTAGTAGAGTTTCTGCTGCCTTCTCCTCAACCATAGAAGTCACTGTAAGTGCTACTATTTGTTATTGTAAACTATTACCCTTTTCTAACTATAAAAGAACCGTTAAATCCAAACTATAGGAATATAGATGGATATTAATATAATTAAGATAAAAAATCATTACGTAAGACCATTCAAATAGTGGTCCTAGATCTAAATTTGTCACACATGGCCGTAATTGGATTAGGTAGTCAGCTTAGGATCGGATGAGCTAAGGATAACAAGTAGCTATCTCAGTTTGAATAGGCAATCGCTAATCGTCAAACTACGCACATGCAACCTCGCTTAAAAATATTATCTGAATATATTGAAATAGCTGGATAACTACACAAGAGCCAGGTAATAATCAAGATAATCAAAAAAGGTCTGTGCTGGGCTTCATGATTGTAGAAAAAAAATATTACATTGGCAATTATCTAACCAGCTGTAACAATGTTCTTAGGATGGTTACGAAGAGGACGTTTGGATGTGGAGTCTATTGGACGCGAGGAATGGTGTTGCACGCACTAATATGACGCTGGAGGGTGTAGCGGGAACGCGACTGGGTAATGTGTACCTGCAGGCCACCGGGGATCTCCTGGCAAATGCGATACATGCAATACACGTACCCCCCGCACCCGCAGCTGACCCTCCGCATGCGGTTAAACCTATGGCAGTTGCCTGCGTGTTGCTACAATATCTGCAGGTGACATTAACGTTAACTGTGTAGATTTAGCTAAAGTTGCAACGAGGTAATGCCGGGCTCATTGTATGGGCCTGCCTGACTCTGCCGCTTGCAGTCGCCTGCGTCTTTCTACAATATTTGCAGGTCAGTTTACAGCAATATTAGCTAAAATTGCAAATAAATTTTGACCTGCTCGCTGTATAGATCCGCCAGTTGCACGGTCAAGCTGCTAGCATTGACAGTCGCCTGCGTATTGCTACAATATCTGCAGGTCAATTGCCATACCCAACCGAGGGTATGACTAGGGTTTTTAATGAGCACTCATTTGGGTGATCACTAAAGTCCCCGCCTTTACTAGTTTTATTAACTGTAGACACCGTTTCATTTAACTTTTCGTGTACTTATTCTTGTGTAATCTTTGATACATATCTACTGTTTGCAACCTTCGGATTTCTGTACCCGTCAGACTGCCTGATCTGTAAAATTTGTTTCAACCCTATGTCATTTTTATCATCATATTAGTCTTCATGCTGTGTCAAAAGCATTCCCTATCTATGAAACCAAATTCTAACCACTGTGCCATCGAGTTTATCACTACTTTTTTCTATATTTTTTACAGAATATGAATCATGAAACGGTTTCGATAGCAAAGGACGCTCAAGCGCTAGCGTCACTAGGTTACCAACGTCTGATGGCGTATCGTCGCGCTGACGGATCTTTCGCCCCAGAGACCGATCGCGATTCCAAAGGCGACGTTTGGTGAGTATCATCATCATAAGCCCTTTTACGTCCCCACTGTAGGGGCTCAGGCCTTCCTTATGGATGGTTAACGAAGATGGGCCATGACCCTCCTAGCTGCCCGAAGTGGATTGGCGGGTATTGCAAATGCAGTCGAGACGGCTTAACGTGTTTTCCTAAGCACGGAGTAGCTCGAGATAATAATTTTTGATTACACCTAATATATGCCCGACCCTTGCAAAAGTTAGCTACTACGCCTTACTCAATTATGTTATTTTATTTATATAAGCACATTGTAATGCAGGATGACCGCAGTGGCAGCAAGATGGATGTCTCGTTGTGCTCGGTTTCTAGAAGTTTCTCCGGCGGTGTCGTCTAGTGCTATAGAGTGGTTGGCGCGCAACCAGTTACCCGACGGTAGTTGGGGAATTGTACCTCCGCCGCACAACGACCCGCATGCGCAAGCGCCAATACCATTAGTCGCACACGCACTACTAGCACTCATACAAGCCAAGGTATGCTTCAATAGAACAAAGAAGTAATTTACATCGTTATATAAATGTAAAAAAATACCCGGCACCGAAAAATTTAAATTTAGTAACAATAATAAATGATGAAAATAAGCAACAACTACGAGCAGTTTAAATACCGGATTTTTCGGCGCGCTTTTAATGACGTCAAAGTACATGAATAGAGATATGACATTTTAAATTAATATGGACTTTGAGTGATTGATTATCAATCATTTACCCGAATCGATTAACAACTAATCGATTTTTAAGTATATTAGACTTTTTTAATAATCATATAGTATACGAAAGTTGTGAAATAAAAATAAAATGTAACCTAAAATACATTGCTTTTTAGTTTTATTTACCCAAGTAGGTTTTAAGCATTTTTAAACAAAACCGCATTTTGTTAGCATATCCAAGTACTTAGTTAGTTCAACCCTAATATTACAAAAAAATCTTATCGTTTCTAAGTAAACAGTAATAAATTAAGTTCCAATCAATTTTATAACTGTATACTTATTATAGTACTAACAAAACTCTATCTAATTAGGGGAAGGATCTCCATTACAAGAATGAAATCAATAAAGCTGTGGACTATCTCGCCAAAGAATTGTCTCCATCACTCGACGCTTATACTCTCGCAGTAGTCAGCAACGCGCTGGCCGCCGCCAAACACCCAGACGCTGCCATCGCTCTATTATATATGGATAAATACGTGAATAATACAGGTACAGCACAGATAACTCCATTTATTCGATTCTTTACAGACTTTCGTACTTACAAAAAACACCTATGTTTTGATAAGTAACAATCGCTATTACATCAGTATAAAGTAGATAAGTTCTTCTTGTACAATCATTTTACTCTACTGGAGGAACGTGAATGTGCATTTATGTTTCAATACATAACAAAACATTTTACGGCAGAAGAAGGGGAAAACCAAGACTTGTGCATTTTTCACATGTTATGTTTTTGTTGGGATCTTATCACTGCAAATTTGTTAAACGGTGATCATCTCTGAAGACAGCTCGAAAGATTATAAAATAATAGTGTACAGTTGGGTCATTAAAAAATCACATCACACCACATTTGACATCTAGGTATAAATCTCGACTTAATAGTGAGGCGTCTTTCTTAAAATTTTCGATTAATTTATCGAAACGACATGATTTTCAAAGAAATGTGAATCAATTTAAGTTATTGTGCAAAAATAATATCAATATTATGATGTTATCGGTATATTACTACGTGAGTTTGATTATTAAATTATGTATTGTGTCGACACTAAGAATAACAGCATAAAATCACTGATAATAAATGAATAATGCACAAATTAGTTATTACTAAGTGTAACGCCAAATCTTTAAGTGTAGAAATAAATCCAAGACACCTTTTTATCTTGTTGCCTATAGCAAAATAGACAGTGATGGACAGAGGTTGTCGAATTGCGCGTCAAAAACTGTTTGATAATTAGGTACTCGCAAACTCATATTCCGACTATTGTTAATGATTGTAGGATTCCATCGGTTACAAAGTGATTTACGTGTTTATCGATTTTTCGTATAAAAAATAACTACAAAAAGAAATGGAATAAATTGAAAATTTCAAGAGCAACTATTTTGTTCTATGGAGAAAATTGTATAAGTTCACGTTTTGGATGGGATAGTATCCTTTCAAGTTCTGTAACGTTCGTGCACATAACTATAAATTTACTGTTCAATTATTGATGGACAATCCTGGCCAATTTAGTTTCACACATTCGAATTCACATTGTATTTTCTTACTGATAGATAATAATATATCTTTTTGAATTGCTCCAGCATAGGGTTAGTGGCTAAGACTATCGTTCAATCAATTCTAGTAATAAATTGAAGATAATCACAGAGAAACCACTTTCATTCCACAAAAGAATCCCTACACAATAATGGTGTCCGGCGCAGAGTTTCAGAACATAATGATACTTTTGGAATAGTCAAACGAGAAATCATGGAGTTATACTGTTGAACTGCTTTACAAGTTAACGTGGCTGACTTTTTACTCAATTTAATATTCTAGTGGCGGCAAATTAAAAACAGCAAGGCGAATTCGAACGGGAAAAACTAAATATTCAAATTTTTGCGGCCAGCATTGACTATAAATTTATCAGAAAGTAAATCTATAGTAATCTGCACGAACATTACACGAACGTTACTACCTATATGTTCCGTTCTTATATTTAAGTATCAATAAAGTCTTCATAAGTTGACTTAATTTATTCTCTATGACTACAGGATCAACATTATTTTGGTCGCGTAATGTACGCGGTAACGAGTGGCGTAACCCTTGGTTAAAGTCCAACAGTTTGGAAGCTAACACGGCAGCGTGGGGGCTTCGTACCATGCTCACTTCACGTTTAGAAGATAAAGCCGAGCCGGTGGCGAGATTCCTACTGCAAGCGTACAAACCACTGCAACCCGACCCCGACGTGGTCAGTATCTCACAACACAACCTTGACCAGTCAAGGCTTTGGTTCTATCTAAACTATATTTTAAAGTAGAAAATATATGATTCTTTTTCGTATTAAATAACCTCCGAAAATACTGGACTGGTTTATAAATTCTTACATTTACGGCATACGCGGGTGACACAGGTTATAACTTACGCGGGTAAGATAGGCTATAACTACGCGGGTAGATTCGTCGATATTATAAATAATTATGTGTATTAGGTGTGCAAAGTTGATATTATTTAAACAAAAACTTTCATATGACACTTTCGGACCCGGCAAACTTTGTTTCGCCTATCAGTCAATGCATAAGCAGATTTAGTATTTTAAAATTAATACAAACTATTTAGTGATAATTTAAAACAAACCATAATCATACAACAAGTTTCTGAATTGAGAATTTAAAGTTAAGAACGTCTGAAACTGTACGTGTATAAAATTCGTGTATTCAATCGAATCACTACGATCTGAATAATAAGAATTCTAAAGACACCTGTCATTAATTTACCAAGTGCATAGATTATTATGAAGTAAATTCGATGCTTTCGCCTCAGTCAGCTCGGATTGATCTCATATCAAGAACTACTTTAGACTCGTGGAATAATAACATTGCAATCATTTCCGTGATCCCGTTATAAATCGTATTTATTATGTTTCAGTTGGATGCTTTAGCTCATTACGCAGAATTAACAAAGACATCGACGAAAATGAGGCTTTCTGTCAACGTAAGCGGGTCTGAAGAGCTAAGACAAATACAGATAGGCGACAACAATCCGCTCATTATTCAAAAACAACAGGTAAACGATGCCGGTTTAATCAAATAAAACCTAACTCAAAAGTTAGTAAAAGTTTTATTTTTTTAAACTCTATGCTGGCACTGACCGGACGACTTGTTAACCAAATGAAAAAAATTGTTAATATAAATTTAATTACAGACTTCTTTTTAATGAATTTCATTTATAATAGCCTGTTTGTTCTGTAAATTATCGCACTTTAGTTGCGCTATAATATTTTTTTTTTTATTTAAATTTCGTTAAATTTGTACTTTGTACTATAGGTGGGTAATGTGCGTTGGGTGAGCGCAGTTAGTGAGGGACGCGGTGTGGCACTAGTCGGTCTTTCTGCTCGTGGATCTACCAACGTGACAGCTGCCTGGCCGCGATATACACTAGACCCGCGGGTAGATCAAGTGTCCACCCCCTATCGAATGCAGCTCTCTATATGCATCGGGTAAACTAAACATAAATAAATAATAAAATTAAATATTACACAGGATAACATGCATTGCTCAAATTTCAAGAGGATTATTTATAGTCCTCGTATTAAAGTTACCAAAACACGCAGACCTGAGACAACATTGAAGAAAAGTCAATCTACATTGACCCGTCCGGTAATCGAACCTGGGACTTCGGACATATGACATATGTTTAACAATCGAAGTATAGCTACCCAGAGGGCAATTTAAACTTGGCAACTTGGATGATGAGGGATGATGACTGGGTTAAGAATCAAAGAAAATCAAACTTGCCCCTAGTTTCCATGCTATCTGGGAAATTATCATGACTACCGTATCAAAGGCAGTGCAAGTTTGTCACCCTGAAACTAGAATGTTTGATTTATACTTGCTGCATGTTTGCCATGTTATCTGGGTAGCCATTTCGCTCATAAAAAAAATAGTACATTTCTAGATGTGTATGAAGCACTAATGTAACACAATGAAGCATTAAGTAATAATAATTGCTACTGAAAGGAAATTAATTGTTTCTAACAATCAATGCAAATATTAAAATTAAAAATTAATTTGAACAGATTTGTACCACAAGGTAACGACACAGAAAGTGGACTTACTCTACTGACAGTTCAGCTTCCTTCTGGTTACTTAGCGGACATCAACACGATCACTGAGTTAACGGTACGTATACACAATAATGTAATGCTTAGATATATAATGGCTCTTATCTATTTTTTTTTTTTATTTAAAACCCAATTTTGGACGTTTTTGATTAGTTTTATTAGGATTAAGTTAACAATTTTGATATTTCGATTGTTTGAGTGTTTTTATTTAGTTTTTCATCAGTATTTATTCTCAACGAGATCCAATAATTTCAATAAGATTTACATTTTTTTTATAGGTAATCGCTTTAAACTAATTACTCGTTTGTGCAACAGGTAGCTCATTGCACAAACATCCATTAAAACTGAAATTAATTTAAAGCGACATTACCCATACAAATTCGACATTCATTAGTTGTACGTTTGTGCAACTGATCGTGATATTGATAATTTGTTTATTTAAAAAAATCGTATAATAATGGTGCAGTCAGTCGGAGCGCATGGTGACGTCAGCGCGACTGCAGGCGGTTTGTCTGATACTGATAATAAATGAGCGCTCATTAGATTAAAGCAAGATAAACCTTATTTATGATATATATTAAGTTTTAATGGACAAACGTCCTTTTAACCTTAATGTACTTTGTGCAATTTAGTGTTCGTCTGGTCGCCATTTGCACAAACACCCATTAAAAATATAATTAAATTAAAGCGACATTACCCATAAAATTTGTTATTCCTTAAAACTTAAAGGCTTCATATAACCTTAATACTCATTTGTGCAACTGACCGTGATACTGATAATTTGTTTATTTCAAAAACAATAATAATAGTATAATAATTGTGCAGTCAGTCGGAGCGCATGATGACGTCAGCGCGACTGCAGGCGGTTTGTCTGATACTGATAATAAATGTATATGTATAACGCGGTCAGTCGGAGCGCATGGTGACGTCAGCGCGGCTGCAGGCGGGCGGGGCGCGCGTGTTGGCGTGGCTGCGGCCGCGGCGCGCCGAACGGTGCGCCACGCTAGCGGCGCCGCGGGCGCTGCCCACCGCTAGACAGAGACCCGGCTGGGCCTCGCTACAGGACCTATACGATTCAAGTCTGTATACGTTTACACTACAACACTGCTTAGGGTTGCCAACATTTCTTGAACTAAATATATAGTATTTTAAAATAAGCTACTAAAAAAACAGTAAAAATATTCAAAAATATATAAGTAGTACCGATCAAATACCACAGGAACCGAGGATATGCATATGTTATGAAATAATGAATTTATCTTTTACTAGAATAAGCTTATTGAAAGCTCTTTTTGAATCATTTAATATTTTTTCTGATGTCCGTTCAGGACATCATTGGCTGACAAGAATGAACAAAATAAACTAACCAGCTCTTAACAGAAATAATGATATTTAACTTATGTAATCGGGGCTGTCAGATGGTCAGGATTCATCCCGAAAAAAAACAATTATGTTCCGACAGTATAAAAATGTGGCAATATAATAAAATATAATAAGTAACGTTATTTTATTATGTAATCTCATAATTTGCCAAAAAAGGTATAAAGGTACTTGTTATTAGTTAAAATTGTAATTCATAAAAAGTTTTTTGATGAATCCCAACCTTTTCAAATTTTGCTCAGATATTTTAGGCCCCCCATCTGGCAACCAAAATCAAAATCAAAAATGGTTTGCATCGCCAGGTACCTATCGCAATCCATAGAAATCAGCTTCATATCCGTAAAGTACTGAGTTTTGTTGGGCACCGCCTTATAGTGTCATCGTCATTTTCTATAACGGTAGTGTTACCTACAATTGACAGTTCTCATGTAGTTAAAATAAATATCAAACGTGATCTCCATTCCCGTTTCAATTCAAATAAATGTTATGATCGCAGGTCACCGGGGTCGTGTATTCTTCCAACCGCTACAGAGTACCGCGTGCGACGTGTGCCGAGCGTGGACGTCCTGCGCACGCGCATGCGGCACAGCTAGCGCACAACTACCCTCCGCTAACCCCGCCCGCCCAACACCTGGAGCTGCACATGTTAACCTACCGTCAATAATACTCCTCACATTAGCACTCTTGGTAGCCGGATAACCAACCTCACTGATTCTTTCATATATATAGCATTTAATGTAACTCGTGAATACCGTTGGTGCAAACTTCACATTTTGCATTTTCCAAAATGTTAGTTTATTTGAATTAAAAAATCTAACCAAATCATTGTTTTGTAGGCAATTATCAATGAATCGGCTCAGTAAATAAATAAAAAAAAAATCCGATTTCACATTTTGATTTTCCAAACTTTTATTTTGGCTTTAAGATACGAGGCCCTTTGCCTCGCAAGACCATGGGTCGCCTTATACCGTCTAATATAATAATAACGAGCCATCTCAGAGCCCTCTTTATATCCTATTCGTGCTAACAAAGAATAGAAAATTAAACAATATTGTAAGCGCAAATGGAGATCATGTCACATAAATATCAAACACCCGGTTTCTGAATTGAAGTTGAGATTTTGTACTTTTCTCAATGAGGAAGGAACACCTTCACCTTACGGTTCCTACAAAATCATATTCTAAATGTACTTTTACGTATTTGTATTCATATCTAAATACGGAACTTTTCAAATTTCAGTTTTTTAATATGTTAGTTAATAGGAACGGAAATGACTGTCTTTGGTCCATTCGTTTCCTGCAAAAATCAACTTTTGCTGCAGTCGCCATGTAGTGGAGGTGCTTTTTTAGTGCTTCCTTTTTTTTTAAATACTTTGCTGCAGTCGCCATGTAGTGGAGGTGCTTTTTTAGTGATTCCGTTTTTTTTAATAGTTCCTCATTCAGAAACCGGCCGATAGTAATTTAGTAATATAGACTGTGGCATTATTGTATGTAAGATGACGTAGTTTATTGATCACGTGATTGAATCACACCGTTCAAATAATGATTATATTATCAGAGAAAGACACATTGTTAAGACCTTGGTCTTAAATTTCAAATGAACTAGATTTTATTGTTATTCTTTTAGTAGGAATTCCTATTGGTAAAAACTTACCTTTTCTAAAAACATAAAATATTTGTGACAAGTTTACAAAGATGAAATACGATTCTCATATACGTACGTACTTTATTTTGAAAATTAAGAAAGAAAATACAATTAAGCTTTATAACAGCAGCTGTTTATTCATTTTAAATCAAGTATCAATGCGGTAATTGAAAATATTAATTAAAAAAGTCTAATCAAGCCTGAATAATATTAACACGAAACGATAAACGTTTTATAAACGATAGTTGTAGTGTAAATAGATAAGATTGTAACAATATATGTTAAGTACTAAGTTATTAATAATAAAACTTATAAAATAAATGCAAATTTCTTTCATTTTGAGTTTTCTTATTGAGTTTATACTCTTAATGACTATTTCCTTTTAATCATTGTTAAATACATAAAAGTAAATGTCAACCCCAATGGTTCTAATTTGTATCAATATAAAATATGTTTCTATTATTATTATGTAATATGTTTTAATGAAGTATATATTATATCTAAATTTCCATTTTCGTCATCATCCAATGGAAGAATCCCAATATTGAAAAGGACATTGTCAGTGGTACAGCAGAAGCCTTGATCCATGCCCATAGACTGAAAAGACAAATTATAAATAAATAAATAACAGACAATGTCACAGACATTGCTTGCATCTCAAACGAAATAGCTTTTAACACTTGCACTATGTAAGTTTGAAACAATGATGGTAAAGCCAGTGACTAACTATACCGTGAGAAGCCCGTGGCAAATTCATTGGATATTCTATTTTTTTTTTACTTATTGTGTAATAATAAATATCAGGAGTAAGGTGCCCCAACTGGGGGCCCGTGGCATTTTGCCGACTTGCCAGATAAAAACAAAATCTAGAACAAAGAACATATAGGAAATTTCATTTTCCCATTGAGCCGGCCCCGAAGCGCACCCTCAAATATGGTAAATAGACATCTTGAAACCAGTATTTAAGGTCATTCTGCTATTGATGTCGTCAAATATGTAATCAATATTTTCAATTACTAATAAAAATGCAAAACTAATTAAATGAATTAAAACAAATTAATTCGCGTTTTTATATTTAACTCTTTTTAATTAACATTTCAGCATTTTACTTAATTCTACTACATTTTATGTCCTCATTTTTAGTATTCATTCAATCGTCACGGTATATATCTTTAGCATAAAAGGTCAAAAGTCAATAAACAGTTCTTTCAGATATGTATGCATCATATATGTATGACAGGCACCAGTATAATAAATATTGGTTGGCACCCCTAGTCATACATAGTAAAGTTGTGTTTTTCTTTGTCATCTAACTGAAACTATAGAATATTTCCAATTTTAATGTTGATCTCACCAACAATATTTTTTCCAACCCTACTAACTACCACCTAAGTTGGTTTTCAGTATTTAAGTCCAAATCCTTTTTAGTATGAATAATAATTGAAACTACTTACTCATATGGATCATCTGATATATAAAAAGCTTGGGGTGTGGGTACTATACCACTGTCAGCAATATATACCCTTTTTGTGGGACGATCATTTGCATCAGTTGGAGTATGTTCCACTAAATGTATGATATTCTGGCCTTCTACAACCTTAAAGATAAAAGAGAAAACTTTACAAACACTTCAATAAAAATACAGAAATATTGAAAATCATTGTTATACAAACCTTCCCTATAACTGTATGTAGATTATCTAACCAAGGAGTGCCTGTTGTTGTTATTAGGAATTGGCATCCATTAGTGTTCTTTCCTGCAATATCAAACATTCATAACACAGACGATTTAGAAGATCACAGGTAAGCGACATTACTTTTATTTTATAAATAAAAACATTAGAACTATACCTCTGTTTGCCATTGACACAAAACCTGCTACACTGTGTTCTGTATCTAAATTCTCATCAGGAAATGTTTCTCCATATATACTTACAGACCCTGTACCGTCATCAAATACGACATCACCCCCTGAAAAGATAGAACACAATTAGGAATAATTCTTACAAAAAATCTTGCAAATTCATTATTTAAATCCTAGATATTTTTACCAAATTATTGATGTCATATCAATAATTAAGTAAGAAATGGTAAATAAAATTATAGTTATTACTTTTGAGAATGCAACTAATATTTAAACAATTTTAAAAACTTGGTGGGGCTGCCGTCTCCAAGTTTTCTACAACCAGTTTGAACGGAGACAATTTATTTTTATCGCTCTTACCAAATAACAAATTCTGACAAACTATATTTATACATTAGGATTATCAGAGTTTGTGTTTAATTTTGAAGCTTTTGGATAGGAAATATAATACCTAGCTAAGAAATGCACATAGGCAGATATATCTCTTGATGGCTGAAAATTAAGGTTTCTCGTTTGGTCTACAATAAAGTTACAGGGGGTTGAAAATGGACTAAATGTCTTTAAAAAAGTAGAAGATATGGTTGTGCCTTTTTGTTGACTTAATGGGGACACTACCACTACTGAGAAAATTAATAGTCTTAAAATTTGTTACTTCAGTTGGAAGAACCACAAAAAGTTCCCCATTAGCAGTTTCAAACCACTTCTGATTCCAGAGTCATTCTTGTTAGTTATTCTATTACATAATTAGTTTTTAATATGTATTTACTTTGTTACAACCCTATTTACACATTCTGCATACCTTGTATCATAAATCTTTTGATGATACGATTAAAAGATGTTCCTTTATATGACATTCCTTGAACACCTTCTGTTGCTAGTACTTTAAAGTTCTTTACAGCTTTTGGTGCCAAGTCACCAAACAGACCAATCACAACACGTCCCAAAAATTTGTCTTCATTATGAATATCAAAAAATACTTGATCAGTTATTCTGAACTGGCTTGCCTGAAAAACAATATTCCTAAATTGTATAATATAATATTTTATACCTCATTATAATATTTTTCAGAAAGATAAAAAAAAATCCCAAAAATCCATATGATTGAGTCAGAGAAAATGCAAATAAATTAAAAAGGTAAACTTGTTATATGGATATTGTGATTTACTTACATTAACAGAATAGATACTTATAAAAACACTTAATATGCACAATTTCTTAAAATAATACATCTTTTACACCTTTAGAACTGACTGACAAATGGGCTACTAATTAAATAAGCAGCTACTTACTCTAAAAATGAATCCTCACAAGTGCACTTATGCCGCCAGCAGCGTTTACCTACCTAGTTATATTATTTGCTTCACATGAAATACATTCATTTTCTGATAAAAGTAACAAGAAAATAATAATTTTCATTGTTTCATGTAAAACATTATAAGTTAAACAATAAATCTTATGAAACTATAGCATTGTCTGTAGTTTTAGCATGTGATTTTTTTAATGTATTTTTATTTGTAATTTTTTTTGCATGATATTTCAAATGTAATGTAAGCTTGTCACTTCTTGTAAATTCTTTTTTACAGTTCAATGTATTTTTAAACGGACACTTATACAGCTTTCTCAATTGATGTGATTTCATGTGTCTATGAAGCACATCCTGCCTTTTAAATGTAGATTTACAAATTTTACATGAATATTGTGGTTCACCATGCCTTAACATATGAGATGCCAAATATTTCTTAACATGAAAACCTTGGTTACAAATGTTACATTGAAACGGTTTATAATTTCTATGAATCTGCAAATGCAACCTCAATCTTTTGTCACTGGCGAATATTTTATTACAATGTATACAAGCTTTTTTATGGCTTTCGGTGAGCAAATGTAAAGATAATTTATCTGCTTTTGTAAAAACAGAATCACACTGTGAGCACTTATATTTTTCACTTTGAGTATTTGCAGCAATGCAAGCATTGTTATAGCTTTGATAATGAGCTGCCATTGTTTCTAAAGAGCTAAAATTTTCAAGACAATTGTGACATGAATATGATGGTATTTTATGAGCATTCAGTACATGGTGAATTAAACTTTCAACTGTTTCATAAAAACTATTACATTGCCCTTGAACACATTTAAATTTTTTAAGAGCTTGATGAGTCTTTAAGTGAGATCTAAACTGACTATAGTTAGACACGATCAAATCACAATACAAACATGAATAACTTAATAAATCTATTTCAGCTGATTTAGCCGTCGTTTCACTTAGCCCATCAGGCCAAACTTTGTGAGATGATATATGTCGTTGCAAATGTGAACCTTGTATGAAGCATCGACCGCAGACCGGGCACTGATAAGGTTTTTCTTCGTGAATTTTCAGATGAGCCTGATACGATTTGTCTTTTTTGAACTTTTTTTTGCATAATCTGCAATTTAACACTGTATCTTCTTTCCTAACTTCATTCTTTTGAATTATGGTAAGTTGATCAGTCAAACTTCCATTAACTAATTGGTCATCGGTATCTTTAACTATTTTACAATCTGAGTTCTTGTGTGATAAAAATAAATGTAGCGAATTAAATTCAACTTTGCAAGTACCACAAAAAAATGTGTCTACATTTACTGCATCAAACAAGGTGTTATGCGCCATTCTAAGTTATTCTTTCTACTTTACAGGAAAATTGATAATAAAAATTAAGTTTAATTTATGAAAACTTTGTTCTCTAAAGACACAAAGGCGTTTGAGCCATTTTGACTTTAGTTTGACAACTATGACATTTTCTTTGTTATTAAGTTTTATGTCTTTGGAGCTACCCATACAGCCACTTCTTTAATACATTCTTCTTTAATATATTTTTTAAAGATAAGCAAATTATATTTTCCTTTCTATAACCATCATTCACTACATATTATAAAACAAAGTTCGTCTGTTCGCGAAAAACGCGAAAAGTACTGGATATTTTTTTATACAGGAAGAGTGATTCCTGAGGAGGTTTTAGTTTATAATAAGTTTAGGTTTTGTACAAACGGATGATATTGTTGGAACTATTTAGTTTACACACCAACCTTCTTTCATATATCTTTTGATAGGCCACTTTGTTTTTTCTCTTTATATTCTTTGTCATTGTCAGTTTGTTTTTTTTTTCTGTTTAAAATATTTATCAAGAAAATACATAAGTCTTTTTATCTTACATATTATTATTTTATTTGGAGTTGAGAGAATACCTATTTAAAGGCAATAAGTTCCTTTTGGTTATGGGCCCAGGAGCTCTGATACTCTAAATTTTTGCAATTCGAACATAAAAAAAAATGGAAGGAGATTCTTGTACAAAACCTTTCTCTCATACAAACGCAAGTAATAGTAGTGTAGTATCCTATATTTCAACTGCACATACAGTAAGTACTCCATCTTTTAACAAATTAGAAGGGCGTTCAAACTATGCAACATGGGCATTCTCAATGGAGATGATGCTGATTGATTGTGGACTATGGGATTGCGTGAAGCATCCACCTTTTGATAATAGCTCACCAGAAATGCAACGCTCTGATGACAGAGCCCGATCTAAAATTGGCTTGTGCTGTCATGAAAGAGTCTTCTCTAAAATAATGGGATGTAAATCTGCATTTGAAGCGTGGAATAACTTAAAAAGGGCATACGCAGACAGCGGACTTATTAGAAAGCTCATGTTAATGAAAAAACTAATGAACTGTCGATATATTGATAATATGGAAACTTATGTTAATGAGATTATGTTGACACACCAACAATTAGAACAAATAAACCACAAAGTAGATGATTCGTTTGTTGCAATTATACTGCTTTGTAATCTACCCGATCAATTTAAGCCACTCGTCGTGGCATTGGAACATTCTGGCACTGAACTAACATCAGACAATGTCATTGCTGCACTTATGAAAGAAGACAGCCGAGATCTAGCCACCTGCAGTAAAACACCTGAAGATAGTGCTTTAGTGTTGTCTTACAACAAATTTAATAGAGACACTAAGAACATATTTTGTAATTACTGCCGTAAACCAGGGCATATAAAACCAAATTATAGAATTCTTAAAGCTAAATCCAAAGATGAAAAGGCTGAAATTTGCGAGGTAACACTTGTGGTTGATGATCAGTCCGTGACTAATTCTAATTTTGATAATTTGGAGATTAGTGAAACTTTTGTAAAATCTTTTATGTGTAAACCAATTTTTGATAAGTCGCTTCTTGCAAAGAGTGATAACTGGTTTATAGATTCCGGGGCTACAAGTCATATGACTAATAGACGTGATTGGCTACATGATACTAAACCTGTCACGAAAAATATTAGAATAGCTAATGATCAAATAATTCTTTCAGATGCCATTGGTACTGTAAAACTAAACACTTCCAATATTACCGATGTTTTGCATGTTCCGAACCTCTCAACGAACCTGCTTTCAGTGAACTCATTGGTAAAGAAAGGGAATGTCGTACTTTTTTCGAAATCTGGAGGAAAAATTATTGATGGAGAAACGTGTAAGGTATTCGGAAAAGTTTTATGCACAGCCTCAAATATCAATGGTATGTACAAACTTGATTTACCTACTGCTCACGCGAATTTAACAGAAGTTAAAGAAAATTCAGCTGAATTATGGCACAAACGCCTTGGTCATCTGAACTTCAGATCTATGGAATTGCTTAGAAAAAACTTAGCTCTTGGTGTCAGGTATCCAAAGCCTGCTGGATCTATTAAAGATAATTGCATTGCTTGCGTGGAAGGTAAATTATCAAAGCAACCTTTCAAAACGTCAGATTCAAAATCGACAAATTTGTTGGAAATTATTCACAGTGACGTTTGCGGATTTATGAGTACCCAATCTTTGGGAGGTGCTTCATATTTCGTGACTTTCACTGACGATTTTTCTAGAAAAACATTTACCTACCTAATTAAACAAAAATCAGAAGTTGTGGAAAAATTTCGCGAATTCAAAAGCTTAGCCGAGAACCAAACTGACAAAAAGATTAAAATTCTACGTTCTGACAACGGTGGTGAATATTTGAATTCGGAAATGAAAGAAATTTTGAAACAGTCCGGTATAGTTCACCAAACGACTGTGCCTCACAATCCAGAGCAAAACGGCCTGGCTGAAAGAGTCAACAGAACCTTAGTAGAGAAAGCCAGATCTATGCTCTCAGAATCTGCTCTACCTCAAAGTTATTGGGGAGAAGCAATCAATACAGCGACTTACTTGAAAAATCGCTCACCGACTAAGGCTATTAGAGGGAAAACCCCTGAAGAAATCTGGACAGGAAGAAAAGTGGATCTTTCACATCTTCGTATATTTGGATGCAGAGTTTATGCGCACATACCTAAAATTCTTCGAAAGAAATTTGATGCTAAGGCCAAACTATGCATATTTGTAGGTTATTGCACCGAAACTAAGGGATACAGAGTAGTTGATCCTGAACATCCAAAAATTCTTATTAAGACAAGAGATGTAAAATTTTTTGAAAATGATTTTTTATTCAAATCGCAGTCAAGTGATCAAAATAATATGGTTGATAAAGTTGGAACTCAAGTATCAGAATCCGTCCCTATTATAGTTACAGAAAATTCTGAAAATATACCAAACGAAGGAGAAGTCAACAACATTATTACTGAACCTTTTATAGTTACAGAAAATTCTGAAAATATACTAACTGAAGGAGAAATCAACAATATCGAAACTGAACCTTTAACACACACACAGGTAACTGGAAATGACGACACTGAAGAAGAATTTTATGACAGTGTTACTGAAATTTCGGATAGTACAAACAATCAAGTTTCTCAACCTGTTAGGAGATATCCATTGAGAAACAGAATCCCGAAAAAGTGGTCAGAAGATATAGTTCTCTACAAAGCTGAAGAAGATGATATCCCTTCAACCTTTAAGGAAGCCATTAGTTCTGATGATAAAAATAAATGGCAAGAGGCTCTTCAAAGTGAATATGACTCACTTGTAACTAACAAAACTTGGGTCCTTGTGGATAGACCTAAAAATAGAAAAATAGTCCGTTGTAAATGGGTATTCAAAATAAAGAAAAATGAAAACGGAGAAAACACACGCTATAAGGCACGATTAGTAGCCAAAGGCTTTACACAAACTTACGGCGTAGATTATGACGAAACATTCGCACCCGTTTCACGCCTTTCAACAGTTAGATTACTGCTTGCTTTCGCAGCACAATGGAATATAACAATGGATCAAATGGATGTTGAAACTGCTTTTCTTAACGGTGATCTAAATGAAGAAATATATATGGAACAACCTGAGGGTTTCACTAAAGAATGCAACAAGGGGAAGGTATGCCAGTTAAAGAAAGCACTTTATGGTTTAAAACAAGCGCCTAGACAGTGGAACCTTAAACTTAACGAAGCAATGATGCAACTTGGAATGAAAAGGTCTGAACATGATCATTGCCTATATTATAAAGTTAATGAAACTTGCATGTTAATTGTTGCAATCTTTGTTGATGATTTTTGCATTCTCAGTAATAATGCTGATATGAAAGAAAATTTTAAAAGGGATATTAAACAATTTTTTAAGGTCAAGGATTTAGGAAACTTAAAACATTTCTTAGGAATGAGAATCGCAAAAGAGGAAAATGGTATAGCCATTGATCAAGAAGAATATATTAAAAAGGTACTAGATAATTTTGCTATGACTGATGCAAAACCGGCTAGTACACCTGCTGATCCTAATTTAAAGTTAGTGAATCCTTCAAATGAAGATAAAGAAGCAGCTCAACATTTGCCTTATCAAAGACTGGTTGGTTCTCTTATGTATCTATCTGTAGGAACTAGGCCAGACATTACACATGCAGTAAGTGTGTTAAGCCAGTTTAATTCTAATTATGGGACAATTCACTGGAATGCAGCAAAAAGAGTTCTACGATATTTAAAAGGGACAATGCATCTTAAACTCCGATTCCAGAAGAAAAATATACTCACTCTTACGGGCTATACTGATGCTGATTATGGTGCATGTTTAAAAGACCGGAAATCCTACACTGGATATGTATTTTATTTAAATGGACCTATATCATGGGAATCACGTAAACAACGAACGGTCGCCTTGTCAACAACCGAAGCCGAATATATGGCACTTAGTGATGCTGCAAAAGAATCCATATATCTCAAAAACATATTGAAGGAAGTGTTTGGTTTAGATAATGGTGTCTGTATTTATAGTGATAATCAGGGAGCTCAACTGCTAACAAAAAATAACGTTCATCACTCACGAACAAAGCACATTGATGTTAGACATCATTTTATTAGGGATACTGTTGCTAGTGGTATTATTGGTATACAATATATTCCGACAAATGAAATGAAGGCAGATGTCTTAACCAAGTTTCTATCGAAGCAAAGACATCAGTGTTTAACGAAAGGATTAGGTTTAATTTAACATTTATAATGGCCTATTAATTTATTCAGAAGTAGGGGAAGTGTTGGAACTATTTAGTTTACACACCAACCTTCTTTCATATATCTTTTGATAGGCCACTTTGTTTTTTCTCTTTATATTCTTTGTCATTGTCAGTTTGTTTTTTTTTCTGTTTAAAATATTTATCAAGAAAATACATAAGTCTTTTTATCTTACATATTATTATTTTATTTGGAGTTGAGAGAATACCTATTTAAAGGCAATAAGTTCCTTTTGATATAAGTTCAACGTGTTGAAAAAAATTAAGCCGGTCGGGAACTAAATGCTACATAACCCGAGCGACCTTGCGTGTGATTTTGTACATAATAGTTCCCCTCCCCGCTTTCCATACTCCGACCCTTTAGGTCAAACTCCCATCCTAGATTCTGGTTGATCTTTCGATCTGGCTGATCGTTCCCCTTCAGGAATTCAGCTGTGTTTTCACTTAATAAGCCGAGCTCCTATAGGGTTATCGCTAACATCTCTCCTCTTTTGCGAAGGAACGGTCACTCTACTCTCCATTATTAACACAACAAAGTCAACACAAAAGAACTGCTCACGCTTTGTAAACATTGCAACAAGTGAGGCAGGCTTCACAACCCTTGAAGTTTGTTTACTTTCTAACCGCCAACTGGAAATTAGCGAGCGTAATGGCGGTAACGACCGCGGTGCAACGCGCGGTTCGTGCGACTTGATAAAAATGCGTATTTTGTATAAACCGTTCTGCCCCCTTATTTTGTTACCCTGGCAAGTTCTGAAAACAACCGAAAAAAATTGTTCATAGATCTCCGTGGGCAACCAGTCATCGCGCAGTTTTCGTGACGATCCCAATGCTGATTGGTGGTGCTAAAGCACAGATATTCTACCCACTAATCCTTACTGGCACCGCGTGTTTTTTTTTTAAATCATTCCACCAAAAAAATTGACCACCCATCTAAGTACCGGCCTTTGCGATCGTCGCTTAACCTCTAATCGCAGATCAAATGCGCTAAACACCTAACCATCATCGAGCTGGTCATTTGAGGGCTATTACCGTATTTTTTGTCAAATTTAATATATTTTGATGATATAATAACATTGCACGACTGATTCGCTCCGAGATCAAAAGCAGATCGAGCGTTCGACCGTTCGATATTTGAAGCAATTCGATGTCGAGGAAATTTGGAACCGATATCGACAGATTGCGCAATCTCATGAGTAAACACTTGTGATTCTCCATACATTTTATAAGGGTGTGCGATTCGTGCGATATCACTCATTGATATCGAATTGTATCGCATCGAGCCGTGAATAAAAAGCCAATGTAAAAATAATAAATTAAAAGTCCATCCGTCCGTCAAAACCGTCTTTTCAATACACTATAATATTATGTCAATTATTCTATTTTGCAAAACACAAAAATAAATTAAATAACATTTAAAAATATATTTAATATATTCACTTATCACTCTCCTGTTATCTAGAACTGTCGAGTAAACTCAATTTTATGAATGGAATAAATCTCACAAAAAAAAAATTTATACTCAAAATAAATATTGAACAATGAACAATCAATAAGAATATTGTTGATATAAATCAATAAAATTTTGATATTTCGATTAATCTTGTCAAGCCTAATCGATACACCAAAATTTTGACGTCCCTTCATTAATTATTTCCAATTTTCAAAGAGTAGGGGTGTCCACTTAAAAAGTATATCGATATGAATACTCGATATAAAATATCGGTAACTGACATCGATGTTTTTCGATATATCGATAAAAACATCGATATTTTTTAAATATCGAGTATTTTTTGAAAATTTCAATGTTTTCCTTTTTTAGGCCCACTTGCAGTAAAATTTCCAAAATCTCGATTTAATTAAATCCAGACTTAGCCTTAAACTCGACTTAACTTAAATCTAACTAAAGTTATCTTGCAGATCCTAAAATCATGACTAGTTTAACTAAACCGAGATTTAGCATATTATTCGTTCACCATTTATTCCTTATGTTCCGTTTTTGATGAAAAGACTAGAGTCCGGCGCCATAAAATCAGTTTAAAAAAACAAACGTCATCATGGCTTTTGTCAAAACTCAGTATCAACATACATTTTTTTGAAGTCGCCGTGCCATTTCATCATTCATAAAGTAGAGTAAAACTGTTTATTAATAACTAAAAAATACCAATAAACCGTTTGTACTGCCAAACTAAAATAATTAAGAGATCCAGGGCACCTAATTTCACAATTGCTGAAAAAATGCACCTTTTAAAATTAGTGGAGAAATATCTTATTATAGAAAACAAGAAAACAGATGGGGCTACAACAAAAGATAAGCAATTGGCTTGGCAAAACTTAGCTGCCGAGTACAACTCGCCCTAGGACGTCTGAAAATTTGATGTCATCTTATAAAAATCAAAGTGAAAATGTTGTAATGTTAAAATTTACTTTAGCTTTTATTGTCATCATGAGTCAGCTGTCAACGTTATTTAATCGATTCGATATTGTGTTATAAATGTATCGATATTCGACATATCGAGTAGAAAAATATTTTTAAACATCGAAACAATCCGATTTATCGTATGGAAACATCGAGTACTTTCGATATATCGACGATATTTGAACATCCCTACCAAAGAGTAAAATTCGTTTTGAATTCCTTCCACTATTCCTTCAGAGAAAAGACCGAAATAATATTTTTGTTATTTTTGGTGATATCGGAATACAGAACATTTCAAGAACTCTGCGATCGGTGTAAATATGGACTTTACATTGTAGAATATTTAAATATCGGCGTTAGCGATCTATCTGTCTTTGAACAAACTACGGAAAAATGACTGTCAACAATACCATTGCTCACCAACGTTTGATTCTTAGTGGAGATAGAGAAAGGTAAGAATCTTTCAGATGCCTATATGTGTATCAGATTGACATACAAAATTATTTTGTAATGTCAGTTGGTTATCAAACTGTTTACCCTAGTTTATCAACCCTTACAGATTCAAGGAGTTGTTAAGAAGGCGTCTAATTGAATGTGGTTGGAGAGACCAAGTGAGGATGCTATGTAGAGATGTGGTCAAAGAAAATGAAAGCAACAATGTGAATTTTGATACACTTGTGTCAAGGGTCACCCCCAGGGCTAGAGCTCTTGTACCCGACACAGTGAAAAAGGAACTTCTGCAAAAAATTAAAACCCACCTTTTAACCCAAAAAGACCAATAAACTATAGATGTAAATACTATTCTAGGCTATTCTCAAATGCTTATTTTTTTCAATTTAGACTTTAAGCTTTAAATAAAACACTCTTTACAACCAACAGTATATTTTATTTATAAACATTTTACTTTAAGGCTAAACAAAAAATATATATATTGCTTATTCATAATACTGCAATTAGATTTGACTGTCATGAATGTATTGCTGCATGATGTTGTCATGGATATATTACTGACAATAAAAAGATCACACTTAATATAGTGTGCATAATTTACAATTACACATTTTGCTTAATTTACTGTGAGAAAAATGCAGAAAATATGCAACTGTATGTGTATAATACAAATATGAATAAGGTAGGCACAACAATTCAATAGAGATTATCTAAACAAACAATGTAATTGAGCTATAATTGCATATCGAAATATTTTTTGAGCAAGTTTAAACCACACAAAAAAAAATAGAAAATTCCCAATACACCATGTAAAAAATAAACCCTTCAACATAATATATAGTATTATGTATTTTTAGTAAATGCTTATTTTAATTATAGTCTGACACATTCAAGCTGCAGCATTAAGAAAAATACAAGAAAATCAAAGAAATTGATTACATCAAAATCAATATGTTATTAGCATATATAATTATTAGCATTTAAATTATAAACTGAAATTATTTTTTAAGGAACAAATTGAGTTAATAAGTGTGTAAAATAAAGCTATATATTTATGTTTATCTGTCTACATAATAATTACCTGTTGCAACTTTCCAACTGCGAATGTGAATGAGAAAATATTTATTTCCTCTAAAACCAATTACATTAATCAACAATACATCTTGGAAAATATATATAGTTAGATAAGATAAATATAAGTATTTATACTTAAATGCATTTCAAATGTTGCTATAATAGAAAAAGATCAAATAGAAGGAGATGAGCAATTAATTTTCTTACTATTATCTATTATATAATGTCCCTTAAAGCTCTTGAATACCTGATCTAATCTTGACAATAAAATAGGTTAATATGTACAACATACACAATGGAATGTAATTTGGACTTGTTTTATACCTTTGATCAAATATATTTATCTTACTACATTAGTTTTAACAATATCAGTACTCTCTTACAAAGATAGAGAACTATCATAATAGATTTTACTTAATTACATTTCTTACATATAATATCTAACCAGATACTTATTTGACAAGAATTCACTGAAAATATCAATTTTGATATTTGATGCTTTACCACAATGACAGAATAAGTGCTTCCAGAGGCATCAACTTCCGTCAAAAATATTGTGGGCATTGTACGACCCAATGATGTATGCTACGCAGAAGATCAAACCGCATTTCTTGTATGACGGTTTTACATAGCAACATTACACGCAAGTAAATTTAAAAATCGGCAGTTTCACTTGCCAGTACCTAGCTTTTTTTCGCAACCGTTTCTCTCGCTATTTACCTTTAGTATAATTTGGCTACAATTTTAATTTTATATTTGTATCTAATTTGAGCCTGACGCTTACCAATACACCGAATACATTATCTAACTCCAAATAGATAATAGCCACAAAGTATACTGTTGATTACAGGGTGAAAGAGATCTCACTCACAACTAACAATAATTGAAAGCAAGTACTTTTAAAAAGTAAATGAGTTGTAGCCCCAGCCCATAAATAGGTATATACATAATAAATGAATATAAAATATAAATCCATTCATACAATGTGACAAATTGCTTTCTACATCATTAATAAAAATTAGAACAAACATAAAGAATATAAAATGTCACTAAATAACTTCATTATGACAGTTATTAGCTAAAAGGAATAGACAAAACGGGACGACTTATCCTTTTCAGTAGAGAACTATGGCAACAGTTATTTCATTAGATTTATATTGTCTAGAAACCAAATTTAATCTCAAGCTTAAACGAGTGGAAAATTTGTAATGATTGTATAATCTAAATCTTGTAAACTCTATCACATAAGTTTAATTACAACTCATCAACAATCAGGCAAAAATGTAAGGATAAAAATTATGTATGGGCATTAACTTGATTTTGGTCGCCTATGCAGACAAAAAAAGATGACTGTACAAATACCACTGACCAAGCAGGGCCCGATTAGCCACGTAGCAAAAGTAGCAAATGGTAGGGGCCCCACGCAATTGGGAGCCTCGTTGTGGTTAAGAGCTAATTAATTAATTTTTCAAGTCAGTGTTAAATAATGCCAAAAATAAAACAAGCCACGCTTCTGACTAGTAATATTTTTAAGTATGAACATAAACTGACAAAACTCAAAACACTTATTCGGAAAGCAAAGGATGAATTTCTGTTTTGGTGATTTGCTACGGGCCCCGCTCTGGCTTAATTCGACACTATGACCGAGAAGATATTTTCATATTGTTTCAGAATAAATAAGTAATAAAATGTGCCCAAATATTTTAAAACTAGCTCCTCATTAGTGATAGCACATGGATAGGCGTATTCAGATCATAATTTCAAATTAATGCACTATGAATATAAATTATAAAATTGGTAACAAACGTTTGCAACAGAATTAGATTGAAGGCGAGTCATATTTACCAGAACAGATCCACATATCAAATATTTTACAGTGCCAGGCGGCACCTATTCCATTTTTATAAATACTTTATCCACCCATTATTCTCCCGCGCCATATTCACCTATTATTTTTCTTTATTTCACAATTTTCGACATTAATACGACGAAATAAGATTCTACAAAAAGGTAGATCCCAATTAAAATCTGACATATTACTACGTGAAACTATTAATATTACTGCAGTGGAATAAGTAGAACAGGCATTGGGTAGGAATAGGTGCACTTAGAATTAAAACCTAGTATAACCCAACACAAATGAGATTTAAGTATTGAGTACATTTTTGGTAACAATACAGAAGCATAGAATGTTATAATGAAATATAGTCGCGAATTACTTAATTATCAGACAATTTGAGCGACAGAATATAATAAAGTAAATTTTATCAAAATTTTATTCTCCCGCGATTTCAATTATATAATATTCAATAACAATTTAAATTTAAAAGAACTTTGATATACGAACAATCACAATAAAAACTTAATTATCTATTTATTATGATAGATGTGTCAATGTGGACGGTAAGATGTAAAAAAATGATTATGCAACTCATAATACCTAAATAGTTAGCTTTTTATATGTTGAGATTAATCTTAAAATAATTCGCTATATATACATAAAAAAAAAACTTTAACAAGAAATACATTCACCTCAATTTTGCCAATATTTTTTTTTTATAATCACATACAAAGAGATTCACTCATATTTTAGAAGGAACTTCAAAATTTACATAAACAACAGCAAAGTTGCATATTGTACTAATAAATAATATATATTTAATTGTTGTGTATGCGGGCGTTCAACACCAACAGAAACTGGGATGATGACTTATTTTATTGGTTTTTCTGTCAGGTAGATTTTGGAAGAATATTAAATAATATATTTTTTTCGTAATGAAAAAAATTACGGCGACACATTGAATTGAATTTCGCGTAACGTCACACCTTTGTAAATTTTCTACTAAGCTGTGACGTAGCGAACCCCCACTACTCAACTTTAATGCCTCTTATCTAAGCAATTTCTTGTTAAACTGAAGCAAAACAAATACGTATCTAATATTTTTCTAATACCTAACTGGCGGGCTAAATAGATTTATTTTTACCCGGTCATCATCCCACAAACAGATTATCAACATCCATCTAATAAAATTTCGAAATAATCAACACGTCTATCGTTTATTCACAACCTGCGCACTAATTTGTGCTTAATTTTGATTCATTTGGCTCTTTTCATATGAACGGATACAAATCATCACATTAAAATACAATGGCAATGAAACAATACTGCTGTTTTGGCAGATCTCTTTTCTTATTAACATATTGACCGATAGCTACCAAATAATCCCATAAACAAATTATAGACAATACGTAACCTAAACTTACATGGCTCGTTAAACACAAAAAAATATCCTTTTTTTTATTAATTTTAATTATAACTACATAAATATAGAATCTTTCATTCATAAATCGATTTCAATTAAAAACTTAAAATTTAAATTGTGATGCTAGCGTGTATTATAATCACATGAATTATTTTCTTATAGAAAACCAATAATTATAAATATTCTTTAGCGTCCATACATATAAAATTACTATACATCTTGGCGAAGGGCCAAATAAGCCCTTTAAAAACCTTAAAAAATGTCGATCCACTATTTATCAATTCAAAATAACTTTTTTTTTAATTTTGTTTGGGGATACTAAAAATTAATTCAAAAAGGTGTTTTAGGAACACTAGACTGAGAACTCACGTAGCGATTTTTGTTCCGCAGCCGATGCGGCTGGACCGCAACTGACGTAGAATGTAAAATAGGATTAAGGCGAGATTGTAGGGCAATACAATATTTTAAACCAATTTTATTCTAAAGCTATGTAATAATATTTGTCAAATAAAAATAATTTTATCAAAGTTAAACATATGATCGATTGCTTGCTAAAAACAGAAACAAATTTCATTAATTAATTCGATATAAAAACAATCACAGAGATAGATAGCTTTTTGGGTCGATTTTCGGTTAATATACTTCATCTTAACTTTTTACAATAATAGATTTTGATATATTCTTTGGATCACATTTTTTTTTCATTAAAGCACGTCTTTACTCTCGATGCGTATTTGTATGGAAACATAAGCCGTGGTAAAAGAGAGCCTTTATGACCATTTTTCATTTTTTTTAAATATAAGTAGAAGAATATAGAGGTAGAAAGTTATATATCCATAAAAAATATTTTTTCCGCCAATAATATTCTTGTATAACCAATAATGTTCGTTTTTATATTTTTTTATTGTGAATTCAGCTCCAAAATTACCATACAATAACATCGGCCATATCATGACAGCAATCCTTTGTATACTAATTTTAACGTCAATATACCGACTGTGCGGTTTAATGGGCATATTAATAACCACTTTTTTTATTCTAATTTACATTTTAGACCTCAAGGAGTTCACA